TGTCCCGGATTATATTACTAGTATATATAATTTCATTAGAGAATTAGTTATAAAAAGCTAAGTAATCCTAATTAATTTGGTTAAGGTACTAATTATATTTATAAGTAGAAATACCTTCTTGGATACCTATTCCGAAAAGAGCCTTTCTCGAATATTGAAATATTATTTTCTAGAGATATTAAAATAATTTTGGACTTATAAAGACTAGTCCTATATTAAAAGTAAAAGGCAGTATTATAAGAAGTATAATTAAAACTTTATATTATTTATAAGGTATACTAAGTACTAGATTTATAATAGATATTTACTTAAAGGCTATTAAATATTTGAGAATATTTAGAGAAGTAAAATTAATCTAATATTTAATTAGCAACTTCTAAAAAAGTCGGTAATTAGTAGTAGTTAGCTAGTAATTCGAGTCCTAATTATTAGCTTCTTCTAAGTAAATTTTTAATTTATTAATAAAAGTAAAAGAAAAATAATACTCTTTATAAATACTAAAGAAATAATATATAATAAATATAAGTATATGGAATAGGCAAAAATGCCTTATAAAATAGATATTTTATATTTTTTTAAAAGTCTTTATAATACCCTTACTATATACCCGAATTATCTTATTAATATTTGGATCCCGGGCTAGTTCCTTTAAGAACTTACTAGTTAAAGGCTTATAATTTGCTATATTATATATTTCCTTAAAGCTATTATATATCTATAAGTATATCTAGCCTTAATAATACTTATAGTAATATTAGAAGATTACTAGTATTATATTAGTAATATCTCGGAATATAGTAATTATATAAAAAATAGGCTTTATAGACTTTCTATACTTGCCTAAGTTAGCCCATTTAGTAAAGGCCTTAAGATAATAGATATAAAGAAAATATATAGTCGGGATATATCTATTAGTATTAAGTAATTACTTAAGTAATATAAATTAGGTTAAGATAGTTTCTTTTATTAAATTAGTATAAATTCGGGACTAATCTAGTTTCGAAAAGTTAAGAACTAGAAATAGTATAGAAATAAAAGCATTTCATATTTCTAATAAAGTATTAGCCTTAAAGTTAAGTTTAGTATTCTTATTTAAAAAGTAAATATAAGTATTATAATATAGCTTATTACTATAAAGGGGAAGTTACCGAATAATATTATACTAAATTACTTATAATATATAACCTTAAATCATATAATAAAAAAGCATTACTTTAGCTTGAATATTATTATTATATATAGAACTAATATTCTCTTATTAGTATATCTCGGCTTTAAGTTTAGTATATTCCTAATTAAAAGAGATATACTAGTAACTTATTAGTAAAACGTTATAGAATATAGCTAGTAAAAGAATCTTATTAAACTAATATTAGAAAATAAAAAATGGGATACTACTACTATATCTAGGAAATATAGTCTTTTTTATAGGGTTTTATATAGAAAGAAAGAAAATATAAATACAAATATCCTTATAACTAATTATATAACTAAAGTAATAATAAGGCACTTTATAAAAGGCTATTTTCTGGACCTTGGGCTAGTCAGAATTTGTTATAGAATTAGTAATATTTATATATAAATATATAAAAGTAAAGATATTTTATTAAAAACAAGAATATAAGTTAACTTGAATTTCTTATTAGGTAAAAGAAAGGCAATTAGTATACCTATAAAAGCTATTAATATTATATTATCTTAAATCTTTATAGTAGTTTATCTAAGAGCAAAGTATATATAAATACGGGTAATAGTCTGAAATATTAGTTACTAGTTTAGTATTGTTTTCGTTATAATTCACTTATAATATATTAAAGTTAAGCTTATAAAGGGTACTATTATCTAAATCATTATTATTATTATCTATAACCTGGCTATTAGATAAATAGTTATTATTATTATTTATAATAAGACTAGTAAATATAGCTTACTAGTTAATATCCCTAATTATTATATATTCTTACTAGTTTATTATTTGCTCTAGATATAATAGTTTATTATTTTATTTACTAAGACTATAATTCGAAAGGAAATTACAGTATTATAGAAGTATAATATATTATTTAGTAAAATAAAAGAGATCTTATTTATTATTAGATTTGGTATATTACTTATTTATATATTCTTAGAAATTAAATAGATAATAAGCTAGCTCCGAAATATAGTTAATTAGTAGCCTATTAGGTCTAGTAATCTCGGCTTATAATTAAGCTTCTAATTTCGCCTCGTTCTTATTATTACTCTTACCCTTATCCTTAGTCTTAGTATCCTTATTATTAATAATTTAGTTATTCTTAGTATTATTATTATTCTTATTAATACTATTATTATTATCTAAATAAGGTATATTAGGGGTCTTTTCGGGAATAAAGTCGGGATTATTACTATTATTATTATTATTACCTGGAAGTAGTTAGTCCAGGAAATACCCGAGACTAGGCTAGTTACTATTTATGAAAAAGGAAATATTCGCCTGCGATTTGCTATATAGCTCCTGGCTATTAGGCTTTATTTTACTATTATATTCTGGGAAACTATTATTAAAATTATTAATACTATAATTACTATTATCTAGGGTTATATTATATAGTAAGAGATTATAATTTGGTAAGAGATCCCTATTCCGGTCTTATAAATTTAGAGGTTCCAGATTAGTATTCTAGTAAATAGTTAGTATTTAGAGAATAGATTATTAACTCCCTTAAGATTAACTAATAAGTTCTAATTCCTTATTACTTATATATTATAAATACCTAATCTTATAGGCTTTACCAAATTTATAGCTTATTTATATAGCAGGCTTTATAGAATATATATATATCTGCTCTTTATTTCTCGGTTATAAATGTCTAGAAGATTCGTATTTATAATAGATTTACGGGAATATAATTATTAATTCAGTAGTAATTAGTTAGAAAGTTATTATATTTTCGGAAGAGTTATAAGATAAGATAATACTTATAATACTTGGACTCAAATAAGGAGTCTTTTAGGTCTTACTAGGGATCTCTTAGGTTTCTCTATAATATTTACTATTAGGTAATTATTATTCAATATTTTGTTCTCGGATTCTTGTAAATAAGCGAATAGTAATTTCTTATTTAGTTAGTAATAACTTAGTACTTTGCCCTCAAATTCTAGTAGATTTATAAATAGCAGGCTCTTATATTATATAAGGCAGGCCTATACTCTATAATAAAAGTTTTATAGAATCGGATATAGATCTTTAATATCTAGTTAATAATTCTTATATATTTCGAGGTCAAATTAATAATATTTAGAAGCCGAGTAGCTCTATATTTAAAGTACTTATAGTATTTGAATATTCTTGAATATAGTAAAAAAGTAATATATATAAAGAGTTAGGCTATTATATAATTAGAGTTAAAGAGATTAGTATATCTAAGAAAGGAGGTTATAAAGAAGGAGGAGGTTATTAAGGAGAAAGTTATTAAAAAGGAGATTATTAAGGAGAAGATTACTAAATAGTATTTAAAGAAGCTAGGAAAAGGCATATATTAGTTATTAAATCTATAGCAAATAAAAGAAGCTTAAGGAAATATAAGTAAGTAAATAATAATTTATTAAATTAGGATCTAGAACTTGTTAATACTTTTCCTACTAGTATACTTATCTAGTTATATTACTTTTATATCTTGTTTCTTTCTTTTCTTTTTTACTTTTCTTTAGGTAAGGTATTTTTAGAGAATTAGATTTAGAAATAAAAGATTAAAATCCGGTAATAATTTGCTAAGAATTCGGGAGTAAAAGGCTATTAAAGAATTAGCTTATTTAGAAGTAATATCTAAAAAAATTATTATTAATTATACTAAGAGTAAAAGAAGTTTAGATTTAGGAAGCGCCTTTAGCCTTAACTTCTAAGTAAGTTCCAAACTCTTGGTAATAAATTTATTATATATATTATAATATATTAAATCCTAAAATATATACTTTTTATTATAATATATATAATTAATTTAGTACTTAATTTGTAGCCTTTTAGGGCCTTAAACTAATATAAAGAAAGTTATTAATAATATAATATTAGTTTTATTAAGATATATATATTATATATATTATGCTTTTTTGGCTCTTAATATATATATTCTTACTATAAAATTATAATTAATTTACTATATAACTAATATATAATATATAGCTATAACTTTTTAAAAACCTAGTAATATGTAATTATTTCGGTACCTAACTTATAGCTATTCGCCTGTTATTTATTAAGTTATTACCAATATTATATATATTATGCTTTTTTGGCTCTTAATATATATACTCTTACTATAAAATCGCAATTAATCTACTATATAACTAATATGTAATATATAGCTATAATCTTTTAAAAACCTGGTAATATATAATTATTTTGGTACCTAACTTATAGCTATTTGCCCGTTATTTATTGAGTTATTACCAATATTATATATATTACGCTTTTTTGGCTCTTAATATATATACTCTTGCTATGAAATCGTAATTAATCTGCTATATAACTAATACGTAATATATAGCTATAACCTTTTAAAAACCTGGTAATATGCGATTATTTCGGTACCTAACTTATAGCTATTCGCCCGTTATTTGATATCGAGTTATTAACTATATGATTTTGGTAAGGGAGCTTCTCGCTAATGTGTGTTTTTCAAAACCGCCTCGCTTACGTGCCCGCTTTTCAGGCATTTGACTGCTGTTCTATAGTAGTAAGTAGCCCGTATATATAGCCCTGAACCCCCTAAGTCACATGTACTAAATCCCTATGCCAGCTGAACCGATTACAGCTATACAGGGTATTAAGCTAGTGCACAGCCCCATGGCGTTCGGTTCCAGGGCTTACTAAGCCTATTAGGGGCCTCAGGCCCCTAATTTCAACACTCTTACTATAAGAAGAATTGGTCATCGAATCCATGCAACATCTCATCTGATCAGTGGGAGGGGAGCTTACAGAACGTCGGCCACGTCTACAAACTTCTTTAGTCATACCAAAAGATGCCGAAACGCCTTTGCACCATAGTACCGGAGCCCGATAGAGAAGAGAATTCTCCGAACAAGCCTTTAAACCAATAAACCAAAAACGCTCCATTCTCTGCAGATTCCAAGGCATTCCATGCATCTATTCTCTCACTTCAATACTGCTGGTATCAGTGTTTCAAAATTATTGAAGAATCATATCAAAATATTCTATTCAAATTCAGCAATTAGTGGCCGAGCAAGAAAGACAGCGACGAATAACATGGAAGCACTCACCAAATTTATCGATGAGAGCACCACTCCAGGTACCTCGACTTATGTGGCGCCTACAATTGTTGGCACCGTCATTGCTCCAGGCGGTATTTGATGAATTTCCAGCGCCTGAAAAGGTACGTAGAGTGACTGACTCCGCACAGGAAAGATTTTGTGGCAGCATGCAAGTGGTGTAGGTCATAAGGAAGGCGAGAGTGTCACAGCCGACTCGGTGTTCTGGCTAGCATCGCAATCGAAATTGATGTGCACGGTGGCGTCTCTGATAACAGTTGAGAGAGGCCTTATTGGATTGGATGACGATGTTGCAGAGATTCTTCCTGATCTAGCAGCCTTGGAAGTTCTGGATGGAGGAGAAGATGCCGATGGCATTCCGACCACGAAGCCGAGACAAAACAAGATTACTTTGAGGTAAGGCCTCGTGAACGGAGTACGTATGAGTCAGGTGTTGACTTGCAGCTAGGCTTCTGCTGTCTCATCAAAGTGGCGTAGGTTATGATGCCATGCCCTTTTCCATCTTCACATGGGCGCAGAAAACAGGGCTGGCTTTCACGACACTGGACTCTACACAAGTTGGTTCTGCCTGTCCAACAAAAGAAATAAGGTAGAATGGCTTACTGGTGATAGAAATCCATGAAGATTTGCCCATTAGCCTTCGAGCCTGGCACCAGTTGGTTATATGGGGCAGGTATCGACTGGGCTGGAGAATTGGTAGGGCAAAACAGTTCCCCTCTTACATCCAGAATGCTAAAAAGTGGCCTAAAAAGGTGGCTCGACTCAGTAAAACTACCCTTGAGGAGTTCTACAAAACCAATATCTGGAATCCTTTAGGTATGATAAAATCGACATATCATCCTACAAAATTCAGGGATAGCATCGTTCTTCCGTACCTCCGCAACGAAGTTGGCGAGCTCAAGCTCGAACCACTTCCCGTACCTATTGAGGCTCCTACTGAGACGGCCGACCATGGCGTCTGGAGCACTCCGAACGACTATGTGAAGCTGCTAGGTGCGCTCCTCGATGGTGGAGGACCAATCTTGAGCCAGAAATCGGTCGACGAGATCTTTACTCCGCAATGTTTGAATCCCGGTGCACTCATGGAGATGGTTCAAGGCCCTTATAAGCCGGCTCTTGGTCCCTCGATACCTGTGGATCAGAAGATAGATCATGGGCTGGCTGGGTTGATTAATCACACGGACTTTCCTGGTCGTCGACCACCTGGTGTCCTGCAGTGGTCAGGAATGCCAAATCTCATTTGGGTGAGTTTCTCCACCAACCTTTCGAATTTGCGTTGTGTTATAGATCATATCTGTGTTGCTAATCGAAGAGATAGTGGGTTGACCGAAAGACGGGTATCGCTGCAACGACGTTTTTGCAGCTCATGCCAGTTGGTGACACAATCGCTGGCGAATTTAATGTTCGTTTCGAAGAAGCCGTTTATCAGATTTTTGGGCCAAAGTGAAGCACTGAGTTCTCTGGCAGGGGAATGGGATATAGTGGGCGAGGGGCAAAATACACATGGTGGCTAGGAAATATCAATACGGGAAGCTGCAAATGAATTGTAGTACCCACTATATCCGTAGTTGACAGTGATCACCAGTAATTTATCTTATGCGAGCAAATTAAACCGCTGGCCAGGCATTCCCATAACGTTCAGATTCAATTTGAGACTTGCCTTGGACTCGGTTATGTAGCAATTGGCTCAAACCAATGCATCCCATGGCCATAATCTCATATTTGAATAAATACACTCAACGTAACTGTTAAGCTCAAATGGGTCGAGACTTTTATTATTTATGAAGTGATATGGATGTGATTAAAACCGACAATATATGATCTGATGTCGAAATGATGAATAGGAGAGACGAGCTCAACTGCAAATCTTTCAATAACTGCCCGCAGCAAAACACAGAGAATTCCTAATCTAAGGAAAGCCTCCATTAACGGGAATGACCTGGCCAGTAATGTACGATGAACCGTCACCCAGCAAGAACATGATCGTATCTGCCTGCTCCTCAGGCCGACCCAATCTGCCCAAAGGAATCATCGCCAATCCGGCTGTCAATGCCTCCCCCCTACCTTCTAGGTCAGACAGTTGCGCTCGCGCAAGTGGTGTGTCAGTCCCTCCAGGAGCAACAAGGTTGACTCGAATACCCTTGTGCGCCCAATCGAGAGACCATGAACGGGTGAGACCCAATACTGCATGCTTACTTGCCGTGTATGCCGTTAGCGTAGGCCAAGCGCACAGTGAGGCGCTGGATCCAATGTTGACGATGCTGGCACGCGTTCCCGAAGGAGGGGTCCCTGACCGACCAACATCGGGAGACTCCTTGTTCACCATCTCAAGAAAAGCGGTCGTTATGTTCCATGTCCCTATCACATTGACAGCCATAGTACGTTGGAAAGTCTCATCGCTTTGAATGTATCCATCGCCACCCGGGCAGATGCCCGCACTGTTGACGATGCCATCAATGCGAGGCGAGATGGCGGTGATGGCTTTGTAGAGCTCAGTCACGCTGCTGCGAGAGCTGACATCAATTGAGCCATGATAATGAACCGTCTCGAACAAGGCTTCGAACTCGGGGGGCGCAGAGGCCTTCAGGTCAATAGCGTGGACTATGGCAGATGCAACTGCGAGTTTCAAGACCAGTGCAAGTCCAATCCCAGAACCGCCTCCGGTGACGATGTAATGCTTCTGGGCAAAAAATGAGGTCGACATCACGAATGTTTGACGCTCGAATACCGAACTTTGGTGGCGATGTTGGTCTTCTGGAGTATAGGTGCGACAGGGTGACTCGTGTTAATCTGAGGATTGCTGGCAGATTTTGCAACGAGGTGAATCCATTGCAAAGATAATCTAGGATTCGTAACCTACTTGCCTTCTCAGTGCAGGCACTCAATGAGTCACATTAGATTAGTGATTAGAGGTCATTTAGTAAAGAGAGTGCTACTTAGTCACTAGATCAGTAGTCAGAAGAGTGGGGGTTCATAGTTGTGAGCACAACAAGTGCATAGTACTTCATATATGATGTCGGAACGCAATATCTGCATGTGATCCTGGGTAAAGCCATTGTCTCACTCGCGATGCGGGAGACTTCCGTCGAAGGACGCATAGAGTGGCGGCAGGACGTCGCAGCAGCCTGCTTCTTTCTTGACATTTCGTCGTGGGGTGAAATTGATGTTATGATATTTCAGCTGCTGGTGGTGATGGAATAACTTTCAGCAGATGACGTGGCACAACCCTGAATATCGGCCCTGGTGAAATTTCGAAAGACCTCGATTCAGAATGGAAGTACGAAATCCAGCTATAAATAGCTATTTCGCGGGAATTGAGGCAACTTCAAGATCATACTCAGATATCATCTAGAAACCCACCCTATGTCATCTCTCTTCTCAACTTCAATTTATGGCCCAGACCTGCAATTATGCATCAACACCTGCGGAACATCAACGACACGATCACGAATAAAATCTGCAAATCCCTTCCCCAGCGAATCCAAACGACTTGAACTGCTTACTCCTCGTCCCAGACATCCATAAATCACGAAGTGCACAGCCCAAATATGCGGAAATTCGACTCTTTCGATGAAGAACTCGTCGCTCCAATCTTTTGCCATGAGCTGCTTCATCCGACCAGTAGTAAGAAAGCTCCGAAACCATGGCCAAGCTCCCTCTTCTCGTACAAACAGACCGATATTGATATTAGATCCCTTATCACCTGAGCGTGCAAGAGCAATATCCCCCAGGCGTGCCTTTTTGGTTGGTCCGAACATGCGCAATTCTACTGGCGAAGTAGACTCGTAGTTCTCCCGAGGTAGGACTGTCTCGTACCGCGGTGGATGGCCGGCATTTGTCGAGCACTCAATCTGACCATCTGCCGAGAGGAACACGATCGACTCATCCAGATGATCTTGAGGAAATATTGCCGGGTAGAAGGCGACATAAGGTAGCGGTAGTGCCGTCCTTAGATCCAACGAGAGGTGAAAGCCTACTCATAGATGCCGGTTCTCAGTATACACATAAGAGCCGAGTCAAGGAATCTACGAACCTGAAAAATGCTGCATGCCGAACTCTCCGACCGTCTTGAGCAACCCAATTATGGTGTCTTGCGACTCAGCTTGCGCAAACAGACGGCAATAAGTCGTGCTACTCAACTGAGTCGATGGATCAGGCTCTCTGATCCCAATAATCTGAAACTCAAGGACTTCGAAAGCTTTCAGAAGGCCTCTTTTCTCCAGCCCGAACCGAATCTGTGCCTCATACAGCTGCCATTTTTGCTCTGTGGCAAAGCCGCATGCGTTCACCAAAACCTGCGACTGGTACCCACCTCGATAAAAGATGGCCAGTTTGGTTGTAGGTGGAGGGGGCTGGCCACGAATGCCGGTAACTTTGACCCTATGAAGGCTTGAGTGAGCTATTGTGACGATATGGGAGCTTGAAATTTACCTGTTGTTTCCCGCTTGTTCAATCTTCACCTCGCCGAGAATTGCAGCAACGTCACTGTTGAGGTAGATATTTCCCTGCAGTTCGTAAAGAAATTGACACTTAACTGTATCTACCGTGACCAAACCGTTAGTTTTCTCATGTTTGCAAACTATAAGTGTTCCGTCAATGGCAACCTCCACGATGGGAAATCCCAAATCAATCAAGCTCTCCATCTTTTCCTCATAGAATGCAGCGTAATTGGCGCCAGTGACATACGCAGAGCACTCGATCAAGTGACCAGCAATCAAACACTGTGCCAGTCGGTCATAGTCGGTGTCGCTCCACGAATGCCAATACCATGCAGCACCAACAACAAGTGATGCGTCAGAAACTCGGCCACAGATCACAATATCTGCCCCATGCTCTAAACCTTTCACTATGGCTCTAGCTCCTAGATATGCATTGGCTGACACTATGTATTTTTGCGATACATCGTCAAGGAATGTCTGTGCCAAAGGCACCAAATTTACGTTTGGATTTTCGGAGTCTAGGTGAGCAGGTGCCGTGACTTTGGTTTCAATTTCTTCCTTGACTGGCTCATAGAGGTCATCGCCTGCGACATACGCTACTTTGAGCCCCAGTCCTTGTTCCGTAATCATCGTAAGGTCAGTTTCCCGTTCATAGTTACATTTCTGGACGGCGGACAGCTAACTCACCAGCTTCACACACTCTTCAGCAAGCCCCTTAGGGTTGAGTGATCCGCCATTGATTATAATCTTGACGTTTTTCTGCGCAACACAATGTAGGCTTCCCTTGATTCCCTCAAGAGCAAAGGGTTCGTACCCAGGATGTTTGCCGCTTCGGTACGCCTCTGCATTCTCTGCAATGTTCATTTCTACCTATGTTCAACATGTCTGATTTCTTCCATTCTGAAAAACCACACTTACCAGCAAGATAATCTCCAGTGATGAAGTCAACGTCTCCAAGCTCGACCTGGCGGCGCATTTGATAGCCTGGGTCACCTATGGAGCCCGTTAATGGATTGATTGTATATGCGCCGACTCAATCAATAACCTACCACGCGCACCAGAACAATTGGCAATCCTAACAGACCGGGCCGCGCGACGCTGGAATCGAGTAGAGTAGTCCTCCATCGTGCTGTTTGTTGGCTCTAACGGTGGTAAGCTCCTACAAAACACGGAAAAAGGTCTTCTCAGGTTGGCTGCACGTCGAGTGCCATAACACCTTCCATGGACTTTATTTTTAATAACACCCTGCGTTTGGATCTTCCCGCGAGCCACTCACAGCAAGCGAAATTAGCCTAATCATTGCCTTGTTCCCATATTGGTGACAAGAAATCGGAACTCCACGAGTGACTAATTACATGGTTTGTCACACTTTGCTGTTGCTTTCCCCACAATCGCCTCGGCATGCAGTTATGTCGACTCCTTTCCAATGCAAATGGTGCACATCAATTATGCAGCAAAATCGGTGCTGCAATTTCTAAAAGGCATCCATAGATCTTCGAATTGGATAAGCTTTAACGTCCATATATCGGGGGGGTTCTCTACCTGCCAGTGCTGAGCCTTGTTGGAACTTGGTGTACCCTGGTACACGGTAGTTTACATACTGGATGTATATATAGAGTGCTTACCCCGCGTGAGCTGAGAAATCAAGTCATCAACCTCCAAAACATCGCAATAAGCTTCGAAGACCCCAGCAACATCATGACGACCAACACAACAAATCCACCACCAGAGTATTCCACGCCGGAGCAGGCTCGAGAAGTGTTTCTCAGAGGTTTGCTACATAATCCGCTTGTTGCCAAAGACCTTCCCGGCGAAGCAGCCCAGTGCAGTGCGAAAATCTCTTTCGAAGGCTCTTTAAAGCCATGCCTCCCAATAAACTGGCGCTTTGCCGAGAGTGTCTCAGCGTTGAAAGCTCTCGAAGCTACTATGCTCAACGTTCTCCTTCTAAGAAAATACAATGTCAAGCCATGTCGAGTCATTATAAACACGTAGGTTTCCTCAGTACGATGGGGGATAACAGCTCTTGTTCGCTAACTGACCGGTAAACAGAGATCATGCTCAGCTATTTTTCATGTCTACATTATTTTTCGATATTGATCCAGATGGACTACACCTCACACCTGCATCGCATTTTAAGCCTGGAGGTCTCGAGGCCTTTGAGAAGATCTTCCCAAGGTATGCCTTCTGATTCTTGCGCAAGCTGTCAACCTGAAGCTAACCAATTCTCCAGTTGGGACAAGGGAGACGCTCATAAGAAGCCACATCGTATTGCAGCAACAAATATATATCAGACAAAAGACGGCCGGTTTTATCATATTCATGGTATTTAAAGTCACGGACTCTGATCAAGCGAAAAATTGCTCACTTGAACTCCTACAGGCAGCATGAACCCCGATCCAACCATTGAAAGTTTTGCGCTCCCTCTTCAAAGAGAGGTGCAGACTTTGGCGGAGGCATATGAACCTTTCATGCAAGCAGTGTCGCAATTGACATCGGCCGAGCTGGATGAGCTTGAAAATGATAAATATCATCAGGCAGGAACCATATGTTGGACTACAGAAGAGTACTCTCAGAGTGAACACGGGAAGGCAAATGCACATGTTGGCCTATATGAAATTGATGAGTGTCCAAATCTTGCCCAGACGCCATGTTGGTGGCCTTCAATATCACAAACGTCCCCGAAGCGACCTCTGGCTGGTCTAAAGGTCGTCGATCTGACGAGGGTCATCGCTGCACCCGCTGTGGCAAGAGGGTTAGCAGAAATGGGTGCTAGTGTTATGAGGATCACATCTGCTAATCTCGTCGACTATTCAAACTTGCATTTGGACCTTAATTGGGGCAAGTGGAATTCGCTCCTGGACCTAAAAGCTAAAGAAGATCGAGAGAAATTGAGAGCACTTATTCTCGAAGCCGATATCGTCGTTCAAGGGTACCGACCTGGAGTGCTGGACAAATTCGGTTTCGGTGTGGACGGAATTATTGACCTTTGCAAAGGGCGAGAGCGTGGAATCATCGTTGTAAGAGAAAATTGTTACGGTTGGAATGGACCTTGGGCAGGAAGAAGTGGTTGGCAGCAGATAAGTGATGCTGTGAGTGCTCTCAGTCATTAGCGATTGTCGGCTAGAACTAACTCTCGAGAAGTGTTGCGGAATTTCCATGGAATTTGGCCGGGCGATGGGAAATGACGAGCCGGTCACGCCTGTTTTTCCAAACAGTGACTACTGTACAGGTATTATTGGAGTTGTCGCCGCAGTGGATGCTTTGATGAGGCGTGCTCAGAAAGGAGGGTCATATTGCGTTGATGTAAGTGCGAAGTGTAGAGAATATACCATGGCGGTCGGTGAACTGAGATTTTAATACAGGTCGCGTTGAATTATTACTCGCAATGGCTTGCAACTTCTTGCGGCGCGTACCCCACCGAGGTCTGGCAAGAAAATTGGGCAAAAAATGGAAGACCTGTATTCCGCCACTATCACGGCATGCCAGTCACGATACCGGCATTGATGAAACTGATCGTAGGCAAGCACGCAGAAGTGTTGCTGCGACCCGAGTTCTTTGAAGAAAGGCAATGTAACTCCATTGGTTACAAGATCAAGACTGTCAAGCCCATTCTACAATATGTGGACGGGGAAGTAGATCTGAAGTACAACGTTGGCACGAGGACGAATGGTGTTGACAAACCATACTGGCCTCAAGATCTCATGATAGAGATTGTACAGTAGACAGTTGGATATTGGTACCATTTGGTAGCAACCCAGGAAACCCAATCTAGAGTCGGCCAGGTTCATATGTCTCATCCCTCTGAGAACCGTCAGTAATATGACAATATGAATAACTAACATGAACACGATCGTCTCTATTGGTTTGCACATCATTGATCTGTGCCAGCCAGAGGCGCATTGTCATGGGCTGCCAAATCATATTAGGACTTTGTTGCAAGAAAAGTTAGAGTGAGCTAAGTTTATCGTCCAGCCGCGGTATGATTCATCCGCATGTCCCGTTTCCCCAAACTCAAGTGGGAGCTGTGCCTAGGCAAAAATGTGTGTTTGAGCCGAGATAATGGGGTCGTGCGGGGCATAGGCTACGGTTTCCGGCTCTCCGGAGAGATGACCAACAGAACAGTTGGTAATGAATATCTGTCTGCTGCACATTTCCCTGCACTACATCCTAATGTTCAGGGGCCCGGCAATTCCCCGCCTTGCCATGCCGCTGTCACGATGCAGGTGCATCTCAATCACATCAGTCTAGGCAAGCAACGCGAGTTACGCTGATAACCGTCAAATTGTCATATCGTCTCATCTTATCAAACGGTTTTCCAATGACCTGAGGGTAGTCTAGCTCTTTTTGTTCTTTCTGTTTGCCGATACTTACGATATCCTCCGTTTCTAAGCCCGCGCTGCTTCCTTCTCCTCTCGTTTATCCCGTTATCGCTTTATATAGATTGTGCAGACCTCACACACATAACTTTTCACAATTTGCAGCACTTCTTCCGCATCAAGAATGGAGCGTTCAGCAGACTGGCCTCGAAAGACAGTTGGGAACAATGACTTCACTGAATCAGATGCTGTGATCATCGGGGCTGGTTTTTCAGGTAAGTTGGTCAGCGGAAGAAAGAAGAACGTAAGATATCTGTCAGATACAGAATATTTTCATTTAACCCCCTTCATACAGGAATGTGCATTGCGATCAAGTTGATTGAGAAAGGAATTCGTCATTTCATCATCATCGAAAAGAGTGACGGCTTTGGTGGAACATGGAAAGACAACAAATACCCCGGAGCCTGCTGTGATAGTAAGATAACCCCTCTAAATATTAATCTACGGTTGTGGATTGGAGGTTTAGGATGAATGAATGAGCTCACGCATTTGTCTAAAGTTTTATCCCACCTCTACTGTTACTCTTTCGAACAGAACCCGAATTGGTCGAGGCTGTATCCTGGGCAGGAAGAGATCTTGGTAAGTTAACTTTGCTCGACTTTCTATAAAATTTCATGGTTCCTTAGTCAGCTAATGTAACTTCCAAACTCTCAGAATTACCAGAAGGCTGTTGCGTCCAAGTACGGCCTTTACCAACACGTCAGATTCAGCACTACCGCCAATGAAGCACATTGGGATAATGAGACGAAGAAGTGGAAGGTTTCCGTCAAAGTCTCGGGAGGTAAAGAGGCCGAATTTGGCAAGGCCTACATTTTGACAACGGACTTCCTGATTTCTGGCGTTGGTCAACTCAACGAGCCATACTCTCCTGACCTTCCAGGCTCTACCGACTTTCAGGGAAAGACGATGCATTCTGCGCGATGGGATTGGAGCTATAATTTCCGTGGGAAACGCGTTGCGATAATTGGGAATGGTAAGTTGAAAGTTTGATGAGAAACGCCACGTTGTGCCAGGTCTCTAAGTCTTTGGTTTAGGTGCGACCGCTATCCAGATTGTCCCCGAAGTAGCCAAGTGTGCATCACACCTGACCGTTTTCCAACGGACACCTAATTGGCTTATGCCAAGGATGGACCAAAACGTCTCTGAACTTAAGAAGAGCATGCTCCGGAACGTTCCTTTTCTACTTCGAAGAATGCGAGCGGATATCATGGACGGTCGAGAGTCATATTTTCAAGCAATAATCCAACGCCACTCCGCCGAATCTGCCGAGCTTACAAAGATGTGCGAAGGATACATGAAGACCCAGCTGGCGGATCGGCCTGATTTATGGTCGAAATTGACTCCAAACTATCCTCCTGGGTGCAAACGCCTTCTGCTCAGTGATGACTATTACCAGGCTCTACGTCTTCCGAATGTCAAATTAGAGACAAGGCGCATCCGGAGGCTAACACGAGATGGAATCCATGTATCTGTCCATGGAAGAGGAGAAGCGGAAGACTATCTCGATGTTGATCTCATTGTATACGCGACCGGCTTCCGAACCAAAGAATTCCTGTATCCCATGAAGGTATATGGCCTGCAAAATAGATCCACCGATGATATCTGGAAAAGTGGCGCCCGCGCTTTGTACGGGGTGAGCGTTGAGAGTCTCCCAAACTTCGCCATGGCATATGGGCCGAATACAAATCTGGGTCACAACTCCATCATTCTGATGATTGAAGCTCAAGCAAGGTTTATGGTCACCCTCATTGAGGTGGTAATCAAAGCACGGCAACAGGGCCAAACGTTGTCCATCACTCCCAAGGCTGCAAGAATCCAGAATTGGAATAAGAAACTTCAGAAAGAGTTGGTGACCTCTTCATTCGCAGACCCTCGATGCACCAGCTGGTACAAGACTGAAGATGGGCTCATTACGAACAACTGGAGCGGGACAGTGATAGAGTACCAGAAACTCTTGTCGAATATTGATTGGTCCGACTTTGAGCTTGAGGGAACTGCAGCTAAGAGACTAGCTGGAAGGAAGATTGAGATTGGACGGGTAGTAGAGGAGACATCAATTAGCTTCCGGACATTGGCCTTCATTATTTTGAGTGGGCTGGCTGTTGCAAGTGGTATTGTCTTGAAGTACAACCCTCGTACCAATTTCTTTTAAGGGTTGCGAGCGGAAATGATAGTAATAGACTGATCGGATGTTTCCACTCATAATACTGGGCGTTCAGACTGCGGGAATCAATCCAGCAGCTACATGTCATTGCTACCATATAATCATATAATGGTTCGGATCAAAAGGTAGTTTTCTGGCCCTTGTTAACTTAGAAATGCTTCATTCATGGTCGCATTTTCAGCGGCAAGGGTTCTACTTTTACCATGCCCAACTTGGTGTCACCTCGATCGTGACCACCCTTTGATTCGAATCGTATTCTCTATTCATACTCTTCCAAATTGTGAACCATACCCTCACGCTATTACATTTGATGACTTGATCAATCAGCAACCATCAACGACAAATGGTTGGGCAATGAAACCGGAACCTTTAAGGGTTATGCATCCAGAAGCCAATGTATTCCGGCTCCAACGCTTTCGAATCGGGACAATATCACATAAAGCTAGTTGCCTATCATTCGCACCCCATAGCTCGCCAACTATACTTCCTTCCGATCGGCAATTGAGTTCGTCAAGTCTCAGCTCCGGCAACTTTAACCATCCGCCACATCAAGCTGACTAAAGAATGGGTTTGTCAACCACTCTTCCTGTCACAGCATCCACGTTACAAATCCTAGTCACAGGCTTATCCAGATATGCTTAGTCGTAGATAGGCTTGCGTGCTACGAGCCTGCTACACTTTCTCAGTGAGCTCGGTTTTGCGGAAACAAAAGCGGGGTGATCAGAAAAATACCGGGTCGACGGGAGAACAAGTTCTGTCGGTGTCTATGTGAGTCAGGATCTGGGGAAAATATGGAAAAATGGACAGAATCTGGATGAGCTTGGGTCACAACCCCGCTTCTCAATTGCTTCCCAAGCCTTCTAAAGGTTGCAGCTCCTCTTGAGATCATCACTATAACCTCAAACATAGCTGCCCCAAGAATGTGAGAGTCTTTAGGCACTAGAGATAGGAGCAAGCACTTCCCTACTTCAACGACATTCAAAGAATCGATCTTCATATTCCTCATATATCTATCATGGCAGACCAAATTGCTCAAAAAGAAACTTTGCAAGATGCTCCAGCGACTCACCATCCTCATATACCTCATATTACCCACCTTACCCGCATCCCTCCTGCACAAAAGCGCGATGATACCGGGCATCAAGAAGATGTCAAGTATGCTCATCTCCTCGCAAAGGAGGAGAGCGATATTCCACCCGGATACTTCAGAAGCGTTCGGTTCCTTGGCACAATGATCTCAATGTCACTGACAGTTGTCTCATCCTACTTTGGATTTGCTGTCCCTGCCTCCGTACTCACGTACATTAATCTCGACATTGGTATGATACTTTCCGCCCTTCTTCCCCAGAGTCATATCATGCTCTTCATGGTAGACTAACACAGAGGATCAGGTCCTAGTCAAAACGCAAGCCTGTTTGTCATTGTCTGGACGATGTGCAATGCAATCAGTCTCTTGATCACAGGGCGTCTGTCGGACAAGTTCGGAAGACGATACTTTCTGCTCTTTGCTGGAGCCCTGGCCGTGATTGGCGGGATTGTTGCTTGTACTGCAAAGACGATGAATACTCTGATTGGTGCCAACGTTATCATTGGTATGGCTTCAGGTGTACACTCTTCCCAGTCATTGTTTACTGGAGGTCGGTTCCCCATGTTCGCTGTCTCAAGATTAATCCCACGTCCTGAATCCTCTTACCGACTCTTGTGACTAGAGCTTATTCCACATCGACATAAATTTATCGGCATTATGTTGATTTTGATTCCTATGGTGACCTCCACTGGGCTCGCAGCTTACATAGGCAGAGCGCTTGTCGAGACGCGTAGCTGGAGATGGATATATTATATTTACATCATGATAGTTGGTGAGTACATGGGTCGCTTAGATCCTCGATAGCACTTTTCAGTCTTGATCTTCTGTCTAACAACTCGGATACATAGGTTCTGGCTGGGTAATACAGATCGTCATGTACCACCCGGCTTCATTTGTTCAACTCCACGGTGGCTACCGATCAAAGGCAGAAGAATTCAAACGCGTAGATCATTTTGGTCTTCTCTTTCTCATTTCCGGGCTCACATTATTCTTGCTTGGAGTTTCGTGGGGTGGAAATCCTCAGCCATGGACCTCTGACAAAATTCTGAGCTTGATCATCACTGGTGGAGTAACCCTCATTATTTTCGGCGTCTACGAGGCCTATACATCTAGTCCGAATCCAATGGTCGACTTAACCCTGTTCAAGGACATCCGAGGATATTTATGCTTGAACATCGTGTCCATGGCTGCAGGTGCTATGTATATTGCACTGAGTGTCATATGGCCTCAACGTAAGTCTCAACTCTCACTCCTAAATCTTATTTCCATCGCCCCTCTTTTACTGACAAACCCACACCAGAGGTGTTCTTAGTATATAGTCCTTCAACCTCTGAGTGGCAATCTCAGGCTTGGATGAGCGTAAGCATTCCTTGATCGCTCGCTCAACGGTCCATTCCATTAAATTTATTTACAGACCACAATCGGTTGGGGAATCTGGGGTGGAATCGTTCTTCTCTTCCCTCTTGTCAATATCGTCAAGCATGTACGAAGGCAGATTTTAGGCCTTCTTATCTTGTCAGTCATCTTCACTGCTGCATTATCTCAAGTTGGACCAGGAGATAAGAAACAAGCAAACGCATTCTCGTTCTTGACTGCTCTCCCAATCGGATGGCTTGAAACAGGCACAACCATCATTGTGCAACTCGACGCTGCTGATGCGGATGTTGGGATGGTTTATGGTATATTCTCTTCGCTCTTCCTCTCGTCCCTGTGCCTCCTGCTTTCCGCTACTTGTTGCCCCTTCTAAGTCCTCCTATTCCTCACAACTTTGCCAAACCAAATGCTAATCGCCAACGTAGCTATTCTCTCCAGTCTCCGCTCCATCTCCGGCGCCACCTTCACAGCTGTCTTCACCGCGATCCTAAACTCCAAAGTAAAGTCCGGCATAGCCTCACAGGTCCCTATTGCAGCAATGGCAGCTGGTCTTCCAGAGGCCTCTTTACCCGCCCTCTTTGGAGCCATCGCCGCCCAGTCTACCGCAGCATTTGCAGCCGTTCCCGGCTTCACGCTTGAGGTCGAAGCCGCCGTCTCAAGCGCCCTTGTTGAAGCCTACTCTAGCGCCTTCAAGTACGTGTATTATACTGCACTAGCCATTGGCAGCGTGGCAATCATCGCAGCGGCGTTTTTGAAGGATTATGACCCTCTGATGACAGGACATTTGCCTAAGCAGGTTTATGCCTATGGTGAGAACGTGGCGATTGATTCTGATTTGGAGAAGAAAACTGGGAGCAAAGAGGCTGGAGCTGGCGTTTCTGGTGGTGCATGGGAGCCCGTTGAGCTTGTTCCTAGAGATGACTCGAAAGAGATTTAGGATTTGATTGGGATGATAGAATCACACCCGATTCAAGCCGCTGATGAGTGGCCGGGGTGGATCATGGAGAGAAGTGTCGGATAGCAGAGTGGCACATGCTGGGACATCCATTTTTTTGCGTCTGAAGTTCTAAGTTGAAATCCGTGATCAGACTGAAGGTATCTCTAGTCATTTCCAACCCTTAAACTAAGCTCCATTTGTACAATACGTGGTCAGTAACTAACAAGAAGAAACCGGATAAAATGGATACAACAGCATTCGAAGTTACGCAGGAATAGGATATGAACAATTTGACAACAAGAAAAGACGGTATGGACAGAATCATATTTTTATTAATAAAAGTTCATTCATTGGAAAATAGCTTGTATGTGCAGGTATCAAAATTCAACTGCAAGTACCAAAGTCAAAGCATCTCCATGAAGTTCATCCACTCCAGTTTCATTGACTATCAGTTGCTTTAGCAAGTGGACATAATTAAGGGTTCAAATAATATAAATTCTGATATTTAAAAACGGATGTTCTAGATAACGCTTAAATAGATCTTAAATAGAGCTAGTCCCTAGAGAGTGAGATGTGTGAAATATGCGAAAACACGCGATTTCCAACATGAGCAGGCTATCTCAAGGCCATCCACCATTAACCTTCAAAATCTGCCCCATAACATAACTCGCGTTATCACTCAACAAATAAACAATCGCATCAGCCAGCTCCTCCGGTTCCGCAAACCGCTTCATCGGAATAAAGTTATAAACCTCCCTCGACATATCTCCTCTCTCCCCATCATTAAACTGCGCCGCCGACAACGGCGTCCGCGTGCCACCAGGCGCAACAAGATTGACTCTCACACCATATGGCGCAAAATCCAAAGCCCAGGTGCGAGTCAGACCCAACACGGCGTGTTTGGACGCCGTGTAGGCCCCCAGAGTTTGAAACCCGTAGTATGAGGCACTGGAACCGACATTAACGATGCTGCAAATCCCACTGGAGCTGGGGGTCCAAGTGAAGGGCTCTGACGATAGGGAGGAAGGAGAGGTTTTCTGAATGTGCCGGAGCAGCTCGGTGGCCACATTCCAGGTTCCGGTTAAATTGACTGCGATAGTGCGTTGGAACGTCTCATCGTCTTCGAGAATCCCGCCGCTGGATGGGCAGATACCGGCGCTGTTGACGAGGCCGCTTATTTTTGGGGTGAGCTTGAGAATGCTTTTGAACGAGTTTTGGACTGAGGGGCGTGATGAAACGTCGGTGGAGGGATAAAAGTATACTTTTCCCATTGGGGTTATGTTGCTGGCTTGAATTAAGGATGGTGGAGGGGAGTCGGCGCGGTCTACTACATGAACAGTTGCTGAGCGTTGGAGGAGCTTATGCACTGTCGCAAGTCCTATACCGGAGAACCCACCCGAAACGACGTAAGCCCTATTTGCGAGGCTGTGAGGTATTGCTGCCGCCATGATGAAAGTCGTCGAAGAAGTTAACAAGGCGGATTAGAGGCAGCGATAGTGAGAGTTCTGAGGATAGGAGTCAAGGTTAGTGACCTTCCACTCCCTGGAACTTGGAGATAATATGTTAAGTATCTTCGTAAATCGCGGCAATGGGAAACGGAATGTGATTATATTACAAGGTCTCTAAGTAGTTGGGAAAGAGGGGCAGGAGAAGATACTTGTTCGAGTTATAATGCTTTGTCACGACTTGTGTAGTCATGCCTGAGGGCTAAAATTCAATCAATTGCTAATCATGCAGACCTCGCACTTTAAGGATAGACGATGTGCAATTTGTCATGTCCAGATTAAATCGATATTTATGAACAAGCTGCTTCTGAGGCAGGATAAGTTTCATTCTAAATAGAGAACCTTAGGCATACACGGGAAAATAATGTCACAAAACAGATCCTGACTCCTAAGCTAAATTTTGTAGAGCTTCTTGGTACACCACTTTCGTTGCCTCTGTCATTCGAATTGGTGCATCTGGTGGTGCGGTAGGAATTCGGTAGGATCTCCCTTTTGCAACGATCGCCTCATACCCCTCAAACTTCAGTTCTGGCCACTTCTCAAACAGGCCCGGATCAAATCGCCATGACTTGGCTGCATATAGGCGAATGTCATGCGACAGCTTCAGAACTAGCGCGGGTGTTGTGAGGATTTCAAGCAAGTTGAATGAGTTCGATCTGTCGTGATGGTGCGAATTTTGGTATTCGATCCGGTCATTCGGGGCAGAATATGGCGACATGCTGCTGAAAAGCAGATCCCGGAACGCATTTGTGGTGTCATCGAAACTCTGCCCAGCTTCATCATGTTGTGTATCGATGAAATCGGGTCCAGTCTCCAGAAAAGAAGAGTGGGCTTGAAACGCAGAACTACTCCTCATCAAAGATGAGCTGGCAGCATCAATAGCACTGTAAACGTTCCATATCCCAAAGTATGCCCTGACAGGGGGAGCCTGTGGTAAGATCCGGGAGAGATCGTTGACTTCAATCACGTAGCTGTTCATCATGTCGCACATGAGACGGTCCAGAACCACGCTGTGATTATAGTACATTATCACGCGATCTCTCAAATCAGCATAAGGAATCCAATCAATGATTGCAGAATGCGGCACAGTCAGCTGATCCTGAGTAGGTCTATAGTCAGGTAGCAGATTCTTATAAGTTTCGGCCGTGGGATGAATTCGCCAGAGGAGAATAGGTCCGATAATCTCTGGAACCTGGGATTTGAACCAGACGGAGTGCGTCCGCGGCCAGGCGTTAGCAATGAAAAGAGACATGATGGCAGTGCAGTGTTTGTAAGCTCTAAAGGATCATCTTGTCAGTAATGAAGAACCAAACTATATCAGATTAAGGGATAACGGCAGAGAACATACATCTGACGCGATATCTCGTCTGGTGCTACATCCAATTTGCAGCGGGCTTGCAGCTCAAGAGCTTCTACATGCTCAGAGAATATTGACGACTGTCCTGAATTGGGCGACAGGTGACCCATAGCTGATGAATTGGGGAAAAGTCCAGGAGGAAGCACGAGGCGTGTTTGTGATGGAACCATCGTGTATGGCATATACGTCCCTGCGTGGGGAGCGTTCATACCTATTGTATCTTGGTGGACTGGTACCAGGGCATCGTGGTGAGATGGATCGTTCACGGGACAGAAATCCAGCTCTGGAGATGGTTCATCCATAGGGACCGCGCTTCTCGACCCGGAATTTTCAAAGAGTTCAGCAATGAAATTCTCGAAAGCTAGGTTATTAGGGTCCGCTTGATCGATTGGCTCTTCGTAGAGCTCTTCGGGAATTGTTTGATTTACTTCTTCAGGGGCAATATCGCTGACCAGCATCTCAATCGGTTCTGGTGGCGTTGTTGCTGCTATGCTCATCGGAGGCTGTGATTCTGGAGGCGAACAAGGAGCGCTTGCGACCTCGTGAGGGCCTCTCGTGCTGTCACTGCTGGATGACCGTGGTTGCTCTACTCATACATCAGTGTTGGGTACCCACGTCAGCACCCTAGAGTTTATACTGTCATACCCTTGGGTGGCGGTCGATGCCTTTTTGATCGCATATCGTTCCCTCGACCACCTAGAAAGACGTTAGGTTAGGCGGAGTGAAATCGCTTGCAACGGCCTTTACTCATCTCCTCATCAGGCTCCAACTCTTCAGCGCCTTGCACGTTCAGGATTCTGCCAACTTCGGCACCGATGCAATTCAAAGCAACGGAGATCTTCAAAATTTGCGATCGGGCCTTCAACGCTGCACCTCGTAGCTCCGCAGCTTCTCGGATCAACGTCTGGTTCCTTTCACTTTCGGATTGAGCGGCATTTTTCGTTCGTTCCTCTAGCTCTTTGATATACATGGACTTGCGCTCGCGAAAATGTCTCTGTGATAAACGGTTACGAAGGCGCCTGAGAAAGACCAACGTGTGCGAGTCAGCCAAGTCCCCATTGCTTATTTCTCGAATTTTTTCAAGTTACCTTTTCGTGGTCTCATTTAATTCCTCCCAATTCTCGAACTCTGGAGCAGGTTCTGGTTCTATGGACCTTATTCGCTTCTGACGTGGGCGTGGCATGGTCCAGGAGTTTGTTTCGGCAACTATTTTGAGAAGTTCAGGTAAAATGCAAGTAAGGCCAAGGGAGAGAGGGAGAGAGGGAGAGGGATGGAAGAGAGAGAGAGAAGACGACGTGTGAAGGAAGAGAAGGATGTTGGCGAAGCCATGAAAAGCCAGCCAGCCGTCCCGAGGCACGGCACAGAGCGCACGCCTTCCCCAGACCCCACACCCCCGCATAGACGACCCCGCACCGTCAGGTCATTCTGCGGATCAGGGGACAGGAGGCGGGAGGGGAGGCGAGGCGAAGGGGTTTGTCACTAAAAGTTTAGTCATCGCTTAAGAACGTAGCGAATATCCCCTCCAGTTTCGGAATCATGTTGAAGTTGTGGGATGAAGTAGAGGATTCAAATATTTCCTGGTCTTGCCAAAGTTGTGGATAGAGACGGATCACACCGGACGCGGAATGGAGCAAAGAAGAAGCTGAAACAACGTAGGATCCTGTCAATCTGGACACAGATTTTTGCACCGCCGGCGAAGTTCGAACATTTCGAGATCATGCCAAAGTTGAGCATGGGAAGACTATTCTGGAGCAAAGCAGAAGCAGGAGCATCTCGGGATCATTTCAAAGCTAGGTTAGTCGCACACAGAGAAAACAAAGCCCGCTGCCTGCTGTGTCTTGCCCTCGTGAATACATCGAGCGACTGCCGTGATCTTGCAAAGACGTCGAGGATTCGCTGCGATCTTCCTCCGCCAATATATCGTTGGCTCGACGTATTCTGCCACCACTAAGATATGAAAGACCAAGTGTATTCTTCCTCCACAAAGACATCAAGGATTTGCTGGATTGTGTCTGCGCCAAGATGTCAAAGCCGGCTGTGTTCCTGCCCTGAAGATGCGAAAAAAATTAATTACCTTAATCAAATTAATCCTGAATACCTTAATTAATACATACGTGACCTCATTACGTGATAGACTAGCCTAATTAGGTAAGGATCTTGCTCTAGCGCTCCTAAATAGTCGGGAGAAAAGCTCGCTAAGTCAGCGCTAGAGCAAGATCCTTGCCTAATTGGATTAGTCTATCACGTGATGTGGTCACGTGTGTATTAATCAAGATCTTCATGAATATTCATGATTAGCTTAACTAATTCGTGAATAGAATATGATTAATGAGAATATTTCATGAATAGATTAGATTACTAGCCATTAATCTAATCTAATCTAATCATTTCTCACACTGTTGCTCCCGCTGCGTGCTGGACCAGAAAACTCCTCATGATCCTCCTTGAATTTTCTTTGCCTTCCGTCAACCTGCGCTGATAGCATAGTCTACCGCTCTGCTTTGCCATGGAGATTCCACGTACGCGTTCTTCTTGCCATCTTCCTTTTGTTGATATCTTCTGCCGCATTGACTTCGCTCGGAGCAGCGGAAAGCTGGGGCCAGAATGGGCAACGATTCCCCTCGCATTTCGGTGGGCGTACTGGCCTACTCATGGACTGTGGATGGCGCCTTCGGGATGCGGTGCAGTATCTTTTGGTCATTTTTTTTGAGGTCAGCGAGATATACAGAGCTGGGGAAGAGAACCGAACAAACGTATGAATGCTTCCCATAGTCCACTGCGAAGGCCCAAAGATCCTAAGCCATCAAACCCTCTTCATGCGCAAAGATTGTACGGTAAAAATTTTTGCGATTGCATTATTTCTATCCAGAATTGATATTGTTTACCATATATACATCGCTTTTAAAAAAGTCGATCGGCGACCCCTTCAAGCCCAGACAAATTTACAAGTTAATTAGAAAGCAATTAATTAGTGCTCTTATAGCTAAATCCAGGGCTAGTGAGGTCTATTCAAAGAGAATAACACTACAAACTAGCCAGGGAGCAGGTAGCGTGCCTCCTAGGGCATATAAGAAAGTAAAGCTTAGTAAAAAAAAAAAAGAGAGGTGTGTTTGCTGTCAGGGGCTGCGATTTACAGATTGACCTAAAAAATGAGTCGCACTAGCTCAAATTGCATCGAATCAAGGCAGGGAAAACACGAGGCATAATTCTATATATGGGTATAAGTAGTGCGATATGTATCTATATAAAAATTGTGGTTGTTTTGATATATTTCATAGATTAAGGTGGAATTGATGATTTTGATGGGGAAATCTAGCCCTTTGATTGGCCAGAATTAAGCGAAAACCAGTGTGCATGGGCCAAGGCGCCCCTGGCGGCAGCTGAACGGATAAGAGGCCACGAGGTACCCATTCCACGAAGAGGAGGATGATCAGACGTGAAGAGGCGACAACAACTTTTGAAAGCTTTGAAACCCCAAAAAAAGTATTTGATACTATTTTTTTTATCCATCATGTATCGCCAAAGGTATTCAATTTGATATTTTCAGCTTGTGCTATGCGACTAACATCGTTACAAGCGTCAGAGTTTTCCTCGCAGAACACGCACCCCCTCAGATTCAACACACAGCCCGTGATCCCCCACGCATTTTTCATGCGACAATTTCCGACATCACCGGCTTGCGCTTCACAGCATATCGAGGCTGCCGCACACCAATCCCCGACATCACTGGCTTGCGCCTCACCGTATGTCGAGGTTGCTGCGCTCCAATCTCATGAGGCGAGCTTCGTCCTAGTCCAGAACTAGTACGACTTTCCCATCCATCGTAAGGACTTATTCTCCCACATCCACTCATATCATCTTGTGGTGGAGGCGAGGCTGAGCCTCTAGTCGAATCTTCATATTTGTTGTCCGTTTCCTCAATCTGATCAATTCTCATCCCGACATCTCTTGTCCACTGCAAAGTTATGATTTCGAGGACTTGTGTTAGACCACTGCGGTCGTGCTTGAAGATCGGTTCTCGCTTCACGTGCAAAGTCATGCCTCCTCTTGCGGATCGAATGTGGATATATAGCCTGAACATTACCCAGTACAAGAAAGAGAAGGCAAGTAGGCATGCGGCGAGAAGCTGTCCAGCCCACCATTGTACTTTATTGTTCGTTCGAGTTGCGAAGGGAAATTTGGGATCAGGGACCCACATGAAGATGAAGGGGAAGAGAGCGCCAATAAAGAAGACCAAGGCTGAGATTTTGCTCACCCAAGGTAGGTTGAGTTGGGACTTCTCTGCCCAGCCAACACTCGGAGTAAAACGTAGACATAGCAATCCGAGGGCGATAAAGACGAAATACGCGACGTCAATGTTGTAAGTCCAAGCGATGGTAACATATGAGTATGCTGCTGTGGTAGAATACGGGACTGGTTGAAGGGCGAGGACGGGGACGATGACTACTATGGATGTAATGACCCAGTGCAAGGCTAAGGTGGCTACCGGGGTTTTCTCGTGATATATAGTCTTCGGAGTCGATTTTGTCTTTCGCTTGAAGAGACCACTGAGTGACAGGGAATAACTACCCGAAAATAGAAGCGAGTAGGGCAGGATCCCTTCCTTTGCGATCTCTTGCTTAACTATACGTTTGTTAGCAGCCGCTCTTTAAGCATTTGAGGTACTCATTACCTCGGGCTGCAGTAAAAGTAACGACGATGATATTCCCAAGTGCTGAGATGGCCTTGAGAACCGAAACAAAGGTAGCTAGATGTTTGGGGTTGGTCCACACTCGGCCTAAAGTACGAGTCATGAAGAGCCCCATAACATCAGCGCCGCCAGCTACAAAGAGAAGTTTTTTAGGAATAATGGCTGCCTAGATATGTTGTGTGAGCGGCTGCTCTTTGAGACGTAGCATGAGCTTACATAAAGGATATTGACAGCCATATATATCACAACGACTATAATAACTCCTGCGAATGACGCTCGAGGGAATATCTTTCGTGGCTCGCGAACTTCTGCGACAACCTAAGTTTGTTAGTAATTGAACATAAGTTGAAATTAGAAGGACGAACATAGTTGATTTGGTGGAATGAGCCATAGGGCAAAATGACATAGATGAATGCTTCGGCATAACGAAATGGTAATCGAGGACTGTTGTCAAAATTGAAAGAGGTCTTCAGATCGAAATTTTCTTTTGCCACATCGCGGTTAATCCCTATGAAAGCACTAAAGTAAGTGTTTATAAACTAAGCTTTTATTGCTATGCATCATAAACTTACATATCAATCCAATGACAATGACAAAAAGCAATATAAATAGCTTTAGCGTCCCGAGAAAGTTGTTCAACAAGATACCCCACTTTCTTGACAAAGCATGGAGTAAACAACAGAGAGTATTTGCCGCAATAGCGATTACGATGATTTTTCCAGGAGCTTGCTTAACATGGGCAGCGTCGAGAATATTAGTTGCAAAGGATACGGAGTTTGAAGCGGTGTTTTCCAGAATAATGAAAGTGATTCCGTACATGCATGTAGCGAGGAAAACAGGTCGCTTTAACATGTAGTTAAACTAAAGCAGTGGTTAGCCAAATGTGCTTTTAGCCTTCAACATTAGTGCTTGCGTAATTCAATCCATCTCCACTTCGGATAGCGGATATTTTCTCCCCAGTCCGTCCAAGCGGCCATCTCGGGATGGAAAGACCCAGCTCTACAAAAACAAAACAACCGGCCAGAGTTACAATAGCGCCAAGCATCCAGAGTATTAGGGATAGCCCGATGCTTTGTGTATTTAGAAACACAGCCGAAGCAGAACTGAAAATGCCGACACCTACAAAAGCTCTTTATTAGTTTGGGTTTCCCTCGGGAAATGGTCCACAACATACCAATCATTCTATTAAATATCAAACAGATAGTAGAGTAGTATCCCATACGCGCAGCTTCTTTTGGAAGCTCCGAAATGATTTTGGTGGGGTCTTGCTCTGCGTCCTGAAGCTCTCTCAAGTCGTTGGGGTCCAGGTCGGGGTCCCATTCTGTGTTGAATTGCGAATTGTCATATACCATGGCTGCATGATCTTGGCTGAAAGGGTAGGCCATGTTGAACCTCTGGTCTCTGTCACTGTTATTTTCAAGCGAAGTATATGCGGAATTCATCATGGGGAAGAACCATGAAATTGAACAAAATAGACCTGGGAACAGCGTACCAAGCGCATGGAAGCCTGAGGCGATGAGAAGCCACTTGAATGCAGTGTTGACCGAGAAGGGGGGGGGGGGGAGGCTGCATTGTCTTAACACTTGCCCCAATCGTTCATCGTTGGGCTTGAAAGCTGAAAGCCACCGCCTCTGCCTTTTCAAAAATAAAACACGGGAGCCAAACAAGAAACTCATTCGTGGAGTGCGAGGGCGTATCACAGCCGCCGAACTCCGTGGTCAAGAACTTGAGAACATCTGAGAGAAAGAGGGTTCTACACTCAACATGAGCTTCTCTGTTCAAATAGACGTCGATCGATCTATGTAATTAAGGGCCTCTTTGGCTCGCATTTATCGAGTGATATGCCTTTTTTACGCTAATAAATGTTCAATCGGTTTTCAAAAATACAGCTTTTCCGCGCTTGTCCAAAAGTGCGTGATATTTATGGCACACTTAAAGGCGCACGCATTTTGGGAATTTCTTTTGAAAGATGGAGTGTACACCTTCTTTTTCAGTGGTGCACTTTTAAATGCGAGCCTGAGTCAAACGGGCCTTAAGCATGATGCTCTCGCATTCCGACTCGAAGAAAACAAAAATGGGGCGGGAAGCTCCCCGTATCCCACAGAGATAACAGGGTGAGACAGACAACGGGCTGAAAGATCAGGCGACGGATGCGCCAAATTTACGGATCATGCCGCTACTGTAAATGTCCAGTAGGGCAGGTAACCGGCCAACAACCAACACATCAACGCCCGCGATAAGCCACGGAAAACAAAAGGAAAATCCCCACAGACTCCGCTGGCCGGAGCTCAGCCCCGCAACGCTGCGTCGAGGCTCGATGTTGACAGCGAGCTCCTCCGATGATCATACCTAATCTTAGCTTCCTCAACAAATCTTCGACTTCACCCGGCAGTCGTCTCCCCACACTCACAATGATCCCTGTCATCACCGAAGATGTCGTGGAGGCCTTGGCAACAGCTCAGAATATTCACAAAATCGCATTTCGATATGCTGACACCACAAGTTAGCTTCCTAACCAAGTCCACTCGAGTCACCAAAGTTGCTTACAGCTTCAGATCCATCCTATAAAGAGTTCGGAGAAGATATCAGGAAGCTTGCTATCAACCTAGACCTTCTTCTCAATGTTCTGCAACGAGCAGAGTACCAGGGTGGTCCTCCCAACCAAACAAGACAGAACCCAGGCCCTGGGGCCGAAGACCAAGTTCTAGGTGACTTTAAAGGAACGTTGAATGACTGCGAGATCCTATTAAATAATCAACGATTCTTCCAGAGAAGTGGAGGTTTTGTGAAGAATCTCTGCTGGTATTCACAGGTTGAACCTGAAGTTCGAAACATCAGAGAACGCATGACATGCCTCAACATCAAGGTACTTTCAATGTCGATCGAGACGTGAATGCCCCAGGATCAGACTGACAGATCTGAAGTTCTCTATCATCTTCAATATCCTTGATCCGTACGTGGCACGTTACTCTTGGCCCTTGGCCATCCCACATCCAAATGCATGCTGATTATTACAGTCAAGTGCTAGAAGATCGCTCCTTATATGTTGTTGATTTGACAGCTGATATCCTTAGTTGTGCAGAACAATTGGGACACCAAGTACATGAAGACGGGGGAAGCAGGGTCCGACTTAGTCAAGGACAAGGAAATGTTGTGATTCCACCCGAACTCGAGGATAAGTTCATGAGAACCACTCGACAGACAAATCCTGACCAGTTTAAAATGGATTATGGTCTAGATGCAGGCATCCGCTACTTTAATAGCATTACGAGGGTGGCAGATCATGCGACGCAAAGCGATATCATATATCATGTTGCGATCATTGGCTTGATGATGGCTCTTTGGCTCGTCAAGATTGTTAGAGGTTCTCGGGAGTACCACGCTACAAGAAGCTTGCCGTCCAATAATGCGTTTATGCGTCAGATGGACGATTGGGGAATGACAATTGAGAGATTCTTTGACCATTTCGAAGAGGTAAAGCCCTAACACATCTTAATAAAAGTGCTAGTATCTGCTCACATCCATGCTACAGATTTTGCAAGAGGCGATGCGACGTATCCTTGGTAGTCACTTAATTCTTCCTCCAACGATAGATCTATTAGCTCTTTTCGAAAGACAAAGACCTCTCGATCAAATAATCAATCCAATCGTGCATCTGCAACGAGCTCCACAACCCGAAGGCGCCAAGCAGTTTCCACTAAAGCAGCGAAGACTGGTCGAGATGGAAGATACATCGAAACCGAACAGGGAGGTAGAGCTATCGGTAGAACCACCAAGTCCTTGGAAAGACCGAACTCCACAATTTCAACAACCTCCACCACTTCAACCAACTCCACAGCTTCAACAACCTCCACCACTTCAACCAGCTCCACAGCTTCAACCAACTCCACAGCTTCAACAACCTCCACCACTTCAACCAGCTCCACAGCTTCAACAACCTCCACCACTTCAACAATCGCCACAGTTTCAGCAAGCAGATCAATATTCACGAAAAAAGCAAGCTCCAATCGAAATGGAAGACACTTCAATACCAAGCTGGGACCTAGAACGAGTACATCGTGACTTGAGAGAAAGGGGAACGTGGGTGCTCACGATTCCATTTCGAAACGTCACTAACTATACCAGGCTTCTCAAGAGTCCAGATCAAAACTACACCCAGACTTTGCGGATCCTGAGGCAGACAGAGTCGCACTCGAGCCTGGTGCTGATGATGACGCCTCTTTCGGAAGGCAGAGAGAAAGAAACAACGTTCGTACTAACATTTCCGTACCGTCTCTGAGCTCACTATCTACAGAGACAACTATGAGCTCGACAAGGTCCAGATTGTTCCATCTTACGCAATGCGGACCTGGACATCATCATCGCTAGAGCCTCAAACCATCCTTTTCCGCACAGATCACAGATCACCTCTCTCTCGAACACTTGTATTTCAACAAAAAAAAGGTTTGATTTTGGAGCACACTTGTGACGAAGATCATAAATTAAGGTTGAATTTAGACATGTTCGAATTTCAGCACAAGCTCACAGGGTATAATGTAGGATACGATGAGTGAGTGACACTAGCAATCCGTCCTATCTTGTTGAAAAACGTGAATTAACGCGGAAATAGAGCGCGGGTGCTCGCAACCTCACAAGAATCAACGCTACTTGGCGGCTCCAGTCGTCAAGACCTGTGCAGACTCCAACTTTGGTATGCACCAACTCCAAACCCCGAAGAAAACCTAGCCCTGCTATCACCTGCACCCCCTCCTGTATCTACGGCTCCTGGCTCGAAACGAACGTCTTGGTCGTCGAGATCCACTAGCTCCAGCTCTGGTAGCCGTACGAAAAGGCTGTCGACACCATCCATTTTCTCGATACGGTCATCCTCGTCGGGTCGAAGCTCTGTCGCTGTTGACCCGCCATCTTATACAGCCCCGACAAGTTCAAGGGTTGCTGTCCATACCGCGCCAATCGCGCCATGTGCTGTACTATTTGCACACAAAGCGCCTACACTGGCTGAAAAGTTGGAAGGAAGGGACGTCTCGAGGTCGTTCTTGGTCATCGAAAGTTAGGCTACCCCTTCTCCTGACCTGTCCCTTTTATAACCGATCGCACTGACACGCTTCAAGTTGAACCAGAAGTTACCGTAGAAGAGGAACAAAACGAGCAAGAAGAAATAGACCCAACATCTTTTCGTTGCGTCGTAGTGAGAAAATCATCCTATCTTCCAGCAAGAAGGTCACTCGAAACCAGCGATCCTGCGTTATGGGATCTTGCTGCTGTCGGTCTATATCAACGAGAAGCAGAGACAGTAGTTGTGAAGAAGCTGAAGCATATCATTCTTCAGTTTGATACCCAGAATGGTAAGTGACTGGCCTATGAAGAGCTTGCAGGTAACATAAAGTGATACGGGGTTTGGATAGATCTTACACAATTCATGACGAAATTCAATCAGCTCAAGGCTGTAGCGAATATAAAGTTAACGAAGTTCATACAGGCAACAGGAGAGAGGAAGTGAAGAGCTCTAACTACTGGGATCCAGGCTGGCGATGAATATGAGAAACTCGCTTAAAATGGGCGCTTGCTCATTTGAGCTCAAGGGTAACGTGTTCGAACCTGGGAGAAGAAAAGATGAAGAACAATATCAAGCATGGCAATAAAAACTCTTTCTGTGTAAGTATAGGACAACTGGGTACGCGCTCTGGGCTTTGTATCCGATCTGCATAATGTTCTGGGGAAGCTCCCAGAAGGTGCTTGACTCTCTCATCAAGATGTCTCTTCAAGTCTTGATAAATTATGGAGCTTAGGCATCCATCCGTGAAAGTATTGGCCATGATTTCATCAGGTCTCAAGATTAGAATGCGCATGCGCATTGAGGGGAGTCGTAGTTAAGTGTGAGTGCGCGTCGTCTCGTGAATCGCTCCTACAACCTGCGGCTTCCCTCTGAAGCCAGAGTCAGAATGAGCCATTACGTTTCAGCGAAAGAAAGAATTAATCCCGAGTCTATCAAGTGTGTATTAAGCGCCTACATTGTTGCTCCTGCTCCGGAAATTCCATCCACATCAAGTAATGCCGCCTCCTCCGAGTCGTTTTGCTTTACCAAGTTAATTGTGAGCTGAGTGTCTTTCGAATACACACGTAAGCCAATGACGGCTACCGCATTCCATGGGCTTGGTGATTCTTCCGAGGGAATTTCTTTAGCAAGCTTGGTTGCAGTTTCGGCAAATTTGTCGTCTCCTATTCCCTCACGGTTGCCCTCGCCTTTTTCACCGACCTTAGGCTCCTCCTTCTCCTCCTTCTTCTTACTCTCCGCCTTTCCCTCATCAAAACCACCCTTGGCATGGGCGATATCATAGTTCAGGCCAATTTGCCTCAGCTTCTGTGGGTTTCGATCTACATTTCTCTTCACTATGTCTTTAACAGAAGGCTTATCCATGCTCCTAGTTGCAGAAATTTTAGGCAGGATCTCGCATCTACCAAGTTCCAGACCAATTTCAGTAGAGACAGATCTCTTACCGGTGTAATTACCACGCACCCGGGCAGTGTATTCACCGGCCGCAGTATTTTCCTCTCGGAGAAGAAAATATAGATCGAATTTATATTGGCCTTCGAGGCCTCCGAAGTATCGACTATTGAGCTAGGAAAGGCGAATTAGTAATACAAATTCATGGATACGTGTACGCCAAGTTGAAATAGGGATTTACTTGTGAGAGGACTATAACCACTATGCCAGCTTTTTTGACCTCAACGACAAACTTAGTTGTCAAGTATCCGGAAACCCACGATACATGGACGCTTGTCTATTGCTGGATAACTAGCCAGTCGGTACCGAAGAGCCGCGTACGATGGAGAGCCGGAAATATGTAATACATGTCATCTTCACTTCTTTATATTAAGCTACGTTCGGACCACCCTTAACCGGTTGGCTCCCGGAACTCCTGGAAAAAAACTGGTCACGTGAGGAACACCAGAATCGCCCCCTTCTAGGGAATCGCGCATCGGAACGCGATTACGTCTAAATCCTTAGAGCTTAGCTTAGGATTATAGAGAGAATACTCGAGTACCTTTCTCTATATTTTAGTAGTTCTGAGATGCGAGGGGCTTTTATTATAATTTTTTAAAGCTCGGGGGAAAATCTAAAGCTAGCGGTTCCGTAGAAGGCACTAAGAAAAGAAATCCTGACCTTATATTACTTTTCTCTCTTTCTTCTCTTTATTACTATGGATTCTCCCCGCTTTTGTACTTCCTGTAGGTAAAACCGGCCTGCTTCTGACTTTATTACAGAGCGGGCTAAGCCATATAAAACTTGCTCTCACTATTGAGTTTGTATCCTTCCCCTTTTCTGGCTTAATTAACTAGTTAATAGGCCCGAAATACTACTAATCGTATCCAGCGGCGCCCTGCCTTATAAGAACTCGATCCGAATGTCCTCCCTACCTCCCGGCGACGACGACGGTTGATTACGGACGTCTCTGCGGACGAGCCAGCCCTATGGCGCTAGCGACGGATCCGTTAACCGTCCGTTGCGGCCCCAGTTCATATTATGGAGGACCCTCCTGCCGACCTACCTACTATATGGCCTCCTGCCTTCCTCTCCCGCTTCCGGCCAGCTCCCGTACATACGACTGGTCCGCTTACGGGTTACTATATAGCTTGCGGAGCCCTTTATTTTGGCTATACGGACGATTGCTTTGAGGCCTATTGCAAGAAGGGCGACGTAATACTTCCTCTGATCCGCAAGCCTCCTTTATACCTCTCTTACCTCTTTACGGGCAATAACCCGCTCTGTCGGGCCTTCCGGACGAATATCCGGGCATATAATTATGCTTTTGCCTTTACGTCAATTAGCTATAAGAAGGATACCCGGATCGACTTCTCCTGTAGGATCTAGTGCTTTCAGATCCATGGCGAGCTCTTCTACTTCCAAGGCCCGCTATAGCCCGCTTTATACGCCGAACCCTCCTTTATATAGCTCTTCTTTTATGATCCGCTCTTTGCAACTAATATACGGGCTACTAACTTCCCTTACTTAGATCGTATAGTTCTTTTATAGCTTACGGATATGCTTACGGATTATAATCCGTTTATTATGGTCTATAAGACAGCCCGCGAGCGTCTTGCAAGCTAGTAAACCGATTTCCGGATCTTACTTAACCCGCAAATGCGCTTAATTCTTGAGTCGGGCGCTAATCGTTATTATAAGAACCTCCTAACGAGTAACGAGGTTATAGCCCTTATCCCGGACGAGTATACGGATACAAGCCGCCGTAATCTGGTGCTTACGGTCCGCGAGGCAGGCCGCAAGCGTCCGTAAATGCATACGGTTAACGTTACATACGTAGCATATATGCCGCTCCACTACGTCTTACTCTTCCCGTATAGCGACCCGGGCTGGTACTACGGTTTGCAGTTATAGGACCGTAATAGGACCCGTTAGCGGATATGGCTAGAGTAGCGGGTCTTTTACCGGTACTACCTCTATATTCGTCCGGCCTTCTCCCCGCTCTTTTATACTGGCCGCCTCTTTTAGTAGTACGTTATTAATGCGTATATTGCCTGCGAGACTACCTCGCTTAACTGGCTCTGCTCATACTAGCAGAATATCCGTACGGACGTATATATAGGACTTGCGGATGCTCTAATCCGCAAGGATGTCCGTACGGGCAATATTAGCCGTCGCTTTATCCTCCCGTTAAGCTTTACGGGCAGTAATTGCTTTATATAGTAGCTCTTTTAAGACTTAATGGCTATTATATAATACTTTGGTAAGCCAAGCTTCTTTATTACCTTTACGGCTAACCCATACTAGCCTGAGATTACAGATTACCTCTTAAACGGGCAGTAAGCCATTAACCGTCCGGATCTCCTTTGCCAGGTCTTTATATTAAAGATAAGGGAGCTACTTGCGGACCTAAAGAATTACCTTTTTGGACTATATATAGGCCATATATATATGATTAAGTACCAGAAGCATGGCCTCCCGTATATGCACTTGCTCTTATTCCTTAGGAGGGAAGCCGTCTTCTTAACCCCCGATTTAGTTAACGAAGTTGTTTATACCGAGCTCCCAGACCCGTTATAGGATCCTACAGGCGAACTTATAACCGTAATAACTAGTCAGATGTCTTACGGACCATATGGCCTCGAAGATAATCCGAAAGCCCTGTATATGGTCCGTAAGACGCCTATAGCCCCGCTCGCATACTAGAAGAGGTTCCCCAAGGCGTTTGCGGCCACGATAATTATCCGCGAGAATAGGTATTCCGAATACCGGCGCCGGGATAACGGCTATACGTTTACGGTCCGCAAACCAGGCTTTCCAGGCCAGGAAGTCATCCGTAATAACCGCTGGGTCATTTCATATAACCCGTACCTTCTTTAGAAGTTCCGCTCCTATATTAACGTCGAGATTTGCGCTTCCGTATAAGCAATCAAGTATATTCACAAGTATGTCTATAAAGGAACGGACCGTATGACTATTATAGTCTCAGGAACGGATAATGAGATTACCTAATACCTTTAAGCTCGGTATATAGGCCCTATAGAGGCTTTCTGGCACCTGTTCGAGTACCTAATATACTAGGAGTTCCCCCCGGTCTAGCACTTGGCGATCCACCTCCCTGGGCAGTATACGGTCTGCTTTACGGACGACCTCTTACCCGAGCAAATCGCGGACCGGGCCGCAAATACCCGTTTGACCTTAATGGCTTTCTTTGAGTATAATACGATATACGAGGACGGCCGCTAGTACCTCTACTACGAGTTCCCATAGTACTTTATATAGGTTGCCAAGACCCGGATATAGAAGCGCCGTAAGCGAGGGTATAATATTGGCCGTATTTACTACTATAGCCCAGTTTCGGGCGAGCGGTTCTACTTACGGCTCTTACTAATGGTTATATACGGTCCGTAGTCCTTTGACGAGCTCTACTTGGTTGAGGGCGTCCGTTATCCTATGTACTATACTACCTGTATTACCTGCGGCTTGGTAGAGAATAATTAGGAGTGGTTCTAGTACTTTAACGAGGCTATTTTATTAATAACCGGCCATGGTTTACGGATGCTCTTTCTTATAGGCATTCGCTAGTAGCTAATTACGGATATACGAGTGATCTGGGACCGGTATAAGAAGCATTTCTGTAATGACTTGGCCCGCAAGCTAGCCTATGACCCGTTAATTGATTTCCCGCTGCCCTTGGTTAATCCTTACTATAATTACGGCCTCTTTTTGCTTGGTCTCGGCCTTGCGGATCTCTAGCAGACGCTTACGGATATTGCCCTGCCTAAGAATACCTTTGACTGGACCGTAAGCCACCGTATGGCTGATCTATGAGTTAATTATACTCATGAGACGTTACTGGCGACTATAATGCAAGCCTAGCTAAACGTGAACTAGTGCTCTTGCTTCTAGATAATTATGGCGGTAATTACGGACGATTCGCAGACTGCCTACTTCTACTTGTAAGGCCCGGGTAAGACCGGTAAGACATTCCTTTATAAGACCCTCTGCTACTATTACCGTGGCCAAGGTAAGGTAGTCCTGTATATGGCATTAACGGGTATCGCGGCTCTCCTTCTCCCGGACGGACGCACGTCTTACTCCTAGTTCCGGATCCTGCTCGAGCTTAATGAGTTGTCTATAAGTACGATTACCAAGACGAGCCGGCTCGGGGCTCTCTTGCGATCTACGGACCTGATTATCTGGGACGAGGTGCCTATATAGCACAAGTATTACTTTGAGGTAGTATACCGGCTAATGGTCGATTTATGATCGGTCGCGGATAATGTTCTCTTTAGAGGGGTGCCCGTAATTCTCGGGGGGGACTTTACCCAGATCTTACTAATGGTCCCATACGGTTCGCGGGCCGATATGGTACGGGCCTGCCTGTAGCGGATATAGATCTGGCTACGGCTCCGTTAGCTATTATTACGGATTAATATGCGGGTCCGTAATAACCTATCCGAGCAGGATTTTGTAGACTGGATTAGTAGTCTGCCGTATGACCTGTCTTTAAATAAGCAGATTACGCTCCCGCCTTTTATTCCGCATACCCAGTTAGTTACGGACCTAATTAATTACGTCTACCCGCAAGAGCGACTCTTGCGGGCCCCGCGCGATTACCAGGCCTTTAGCGGACGGGCAATCCTGTTAACCCTGAATAATACGGTCCGCAAGCTTAACTAAATGATCCTGGATATGCTCCCTGGCCAGGAACGGACGTATTTTATAGTAGATTCGGCCGATATAAACGAGGCGGATCCTGAGATTGCAGAATTATCTCCAGAGGTCTTATAGAGTATCTGTTTACCGGGTCTGCCCCTCTCCAAGCTATGACTCAAGATCGGTATACCCGTAATACTCTTGTGGAATCTCTGTCCGCAGGAAGGGCTTTGTAACGGGTTGCGGATATCGATTTATAGCTTTGGGAGGTTCTCGATTTGCGTACGGCTACTGGGTGGCGACTTTGACGGCTAGTTACGGACGATTCCACGGATCAAGCTCTAGTTAACGGATCAGTAACTGTCTTTTACGCTCTCCCGTAAGTAGTTTCCACTTGCTTTATCCTTTGCAATAACTATTAATAAGTTACAGGGCCAGTCGTTTGAGGCAGTGGGGGTGGATTTACGGTCCCCGGTCTTTTCTTACGGCCAGTTCTATGTGGCAGCCTTACGGGTGACCTTATAGGCAGGGCTTTGTATTCTTTTATCCCCTAATATAAACCGTATGAGTAATATAGTATACCCAGAAATATTATAAGGTCTTGCTTAGCTTTTGACTTACTTATAGCTGACTTTATATATTTATGGGCTATTTTTCTTCTTATATTGTCTATAAAGGGTCCGTAAAGAATCCGTACCTGATTTATATACTTAGCTAAAAGCCTTTATTATATTCCAAACTTACTCGGGACGAGTTTAGGGCAAAATTATTGCTAGCCCCGGAGCTTATATAGGGCCGCTAGCGATAATTTTAGCGAAGCGGCCCTAAACTCGTCTTCTATCTTACATTTTCGCTATTTTCCGGAGAAAACGGACGCTGTCACGTGAATGCGTCTGTGCGGGAACACCAAACTTCGGGAATACCAAAACTTTAGGCCCGCTCCACAGTTCAGGCTCCATTTCACAGGCTTTACAGGCTCCACAAGCTCTATAGACTTCACAGGTTCCACAGGCTCCCTTTTACAAGGTTTATAGGCTAATTCACAGGCTTTACAGGCTCCGCAGGCTCCCAATGAACACCCTTCCTTTAAACCGGCTACGCTGCTCCGGGTGCAAGTCCTTTCGCCCAATTACAAGCTTCCCTTTTCACGAGAACGGATATCGACTTTATACTTGCGAAATCTGCCTTATACGAAAGCACGACCAATACCGTAAAGCTACGGGCGAGTTTATACAAGAAAGGCACGACCGGCGGGTCTTACGGGCGAAGAGAGCAAAGCTACGGGCACAAAAGCGTGGGATATGGGATCCTGTGGACTTGGAGAAGGCATTAGCAGAAGGAGAAGCCCAAAGGGAGGCTTGGGACGAGTGGAGGGAGTTCCAGGCTCGATTACAAGACGACGAATGGCAGTGGGATAAAGAGGAGAAGCAGTGGGAGATAGAGCAAGAGAGGAAATGGGAAGAGAACGATCCGGTAAGAGCTTGCAAATAGTAAGTAGCGGGGCTAATATATAGTAGTTTACGGACGAGTATAAGAGGGGGAAGCAGGAGCAAGAGCAAGAGCAGGAGCAGGAGCAGGAGCAGGAGGAAGCGTGGTACTGGCTTACGGCTAGCTAATATTTGGAGATATAAAGGGAGGAAGGGCTTGCGGATAAAGAGGATATACCTACGGATGAAGAAGAAGGACCTGCGAATAAAGAGGAGGAACTTGCGGACGAAGAGGTATCTGTAAATTAATTTACAGACGAGCCTATGGCCCGTAAGTAGGAAAACCTGTCCGTAAATACTTACTAACCCTTTCCCTTAGAATACTGCTCTAGTTGTAATCAAAAACGCCCCCCTTCTGAATTTGGATACTTCTTTACGTGCTCTATATGCCGAAAACGGAAGCAAAAGTCAAACCGTTGACGTGGGATTTAAAGAAAGGAGCAAGCAAGGGTATCGAGACTTGAAAATAAGCCTATAAGAGACGAGCTTCAAAGACATATACAAGTACGTACTAGGGAATCGGGCGAGCAGGAGCTTAGAGAGGCAAGGGCAAGAGAACGCTACGGGTGTCTTATAAAAGACGATAGAAAACAGCCTTTAGAAGTTAATAATTATTTAAATAAAAGCCTTTAAAAGACTGTACGCTTATATGTTATATTAGTGCGAGCTTGCGAGCGCAATGTGGCTATAATTAAAGAAAAGGGAGGGGGGAAATTAAGAGAGAGCTTAATAAGTAAAAGTAAGGCTTAAAAGGGCCTATAAAAGGGGAGGGAGAGCTTTGCAAGTATAATTAAGGAGTATAGTAATTTATAAAAATAGAGAGAGAGCTTTATCCAATTAATCTCGAATCGAGATCAGGGCAAAATTAAAGACTGGCCCCGAAGCTTGCGTAGGGCCGCCAGGCTTTAATTTTAGCGAAGCGGCCCAGATCTCGTTGTAGCTCATCCAGAATTCACCTTCATTGCCGAAGCAATGGTTCAACTTTTTCATCCAGTAAGGCGTCCATTCTTTTGAACCATCACTCCATGGGCCGCTCCACTCGCCGATGCCGCCGACAAGCGACGTCCCCAGGGGTTCCTAGTGTTGAACTAGCTTAATAATCTAGGGTCACGTGCTTGCAATGTAAACCAAGTAAAACGTACCGAATTGACTGCTGTTCTACAGTGGTAAGTAGCCTGTTTATATAGCCCTGAACCCCCTAAATCACATGCACTAAACCCCTAAACCAGAGAGCCTTATACTGAATTATTCAACCTCAGCTAAACCGATTTAGCCTTACAGGGCATATTATGCCCGAAATCAACCTTATAGGGAATAATCTACTCAGTAATAAGCCTACAGCTTAAGCCCCATTAGTGCACAGCCCCTAAGGCTCTGTTCCAAGGCTTACTAAGCCCCCCCCCCCCCAAGGGGCCTCAGGCCCCTAATTTCAACATGGATTAAGCGAACCGCGATTTTAGCGTGTTTTGGGACCGTCTTTCTTCAGAAAGAATCGCACAACGCGAGTTCTTCCCTTCCTATAATACAAACTTGGTAACTCCTATTACCAACCTCATGCAAGATTAGCAAGTGCTTTCACTAATATGGCCGAGATCGTGGCAGCACTGAGTCTCGCTTCCAATATCGTCCAGTTCATTGATTTCGGCAGCAACGTTCTTGCGACTGGATACAGGCTGCACAAAAATAGGTCTGGCGGCTCCGATAACGTTCAAGAGATTAAATACGTCACATCAGCTATCCAGAGACTCGCCAAAAGCTTCACAGAATGTCTTCCCGATGACAGCGCAATAGGAGAGCTGTCACGTACAGAGGTTGAACTGCGAAAACTCGCAAACCAGTGTAGCGTTCTTGCGGAAGAGCTTCTATCTACGGTCAGCAAGATTGAAGTCCAAGGTCGATTAAAAAAATGGAATTCCTTTCGCGCTGCTCTGAAAAGTGTTCTCGCCGAGGAGAAAATCGCGAAGATACAGGGTCGTCTAGATAAGTTCAGGCAAGGGTTAATTCTTCATATTATCGCCTGTTTCCGGTGAGGGAGTCGCGTCCTCGAAGAGTAGTGATTGTCACTGATGATATTTAGTGATGACCTCAATGGATCTATAGCCATGCAAACTTCGTTGGCTTCATCGATGAAGAAATTCAATGCGAGTACTGAGTCAATCGGTGAACGCTTCTTGGAATTCATTAAAGAGAGCAAAATCTGGCAAGAAGGCTATGTCACAGATTGCGATAGATGGAGAACTGAAATTATGGAGGCTATTCATCGAGACAATAACGATTTTGCTGGACAAGTTTCGCTGAGCCATGGCAAGCAGGAGAAGCTGCTTTTAGGGAAGCTAATTAGACTTCTACAATTTGAAGAGATGACAGACCGTCATGAAAGAATTGCCGAAGCCTACGAAGAGACATTCCAATGGATATTCAACGGTGAAGACATGGATTCCGTAGAGGAATCAACTTGGAGCAACTTCCCAAAATGGTTGCAAGCAGAGTCGACTCTATACTGGATTACGGGAAAGGCTGGCTCCGGAAAATCAACTCTCATGAAGTATATCTATCAAGAGCCCCGCACATTCAGACATCTGGAAACTTGGTCTGCCGAAAGTCCCCTCGTGACGGCAGCGTTTTTCTTTTGGAACTCGGGCACACATATGCAAATGTCCTACAAAGGGTTGATGCAAACCCTGCTGCATCAAATACTGTGCAAGAAACCTGAACTGACTCCACAACTTCTACCTGAGCGTTGGGAAACTTACTGCTTTTTCGGCAACGATCTATATCACTTGACGGAAAAAGAATTACGGCGGGCGTTCGATAGACTGAAGATAGTTGAGGTATCCACAGCGAGGTTCTGCCTCTTCATCGATGGCCTGGACGAATTCGACGGAGATCACACAAAGCTAATCTCTTTCATAAAAGATCTAACGGGATCGCCAAACATCAAGGTTTGCGTCTCGAGCCGTCCATGGGTGGTCTTTCAGGATGCTTTTGAGTTGGAGCCAAGTCTAAGGCTCGAGGAACTCACCTACCCGGATATCATTCATTTTATCAAATCAACGTTCTCTAAGGATGATGGTTTCAGCGAACTCCAAAAACGTGAGCCAGTATATGCCAGTCAGCTTCTTGAAGATATTGCACATAAAGCCTCTGGGGTTTTTCTGTGGGTTCATGTCGTTGTGCAGTCACTTCTCGCTGGATTATCCAACGGCGACAGAGTATCTGACCTTCAACGCCGACTTCATTTTCTTCCACCGGACTTGAAGAATTTGTATCAAAAGATCCTAGACAGCCTCGACCCTTTTTATCTTGAGCATGCTTCTCAAATATTTCACATCATTCGAGTGGCAGAGAAGCCACCATCAATTCTTCTCCTGTCATTTGCAGACGAAGAACTGAATACGATTCTTGATTTGAAGTCTGCACCTTTGACGAGTGAAGAGAAAACGATAAGGGTTAATGTGATGGAGAGGCGGTTGAATAGCCGGTGTAAGGGGTTACTCGAAGTTGCCGGAATTATGGACGAGGACCCTTTCACTCGAACCCGCAGGGGATGTAGCCGGCGATTTGTCACAACTTCCACTGTACAATATCTGCATAGAACAGTGAAGGATTTTATTGAGGATCCTAAGATCTGGAATTGGCTCTTGGCATCAAGAAAAACATCGTACGACCCAAATTTTGCACTTTCGACTGCCTGGCTGGGATTCCTCAAAACTTGTGATCTCAATCCTTGTTTTCCTGACTTTGATCTTGATAAGAAGTTTTTTGACTTCGCAATGAGCAAGATTTGGGACAAGGTCGAGGATTGCTTGGGCTTCGCTATGCTCGTGGGGACCGAACAACAGCCAGTTCTAGTTCAACTGCTTGATGAGCTCGACTCTACTGCGTCACAGATCTCTGCGCATCTGCTGAACCTTAGTCAAGGTGATTCGTGGCGCATTCCTCAGAAGTTCTCGTGTACAGATCCACCAGGGCGTCCTCAAGTCTCCGTACACGCCACGGCACAAGGTGTCCTGCAGCCGCACTGGGCCTGTTCCTTGTACGACTCTCCAAACGACTTTGCTGGTCTTAGTTTCTTGTCAATTGCAGTTAGACTTGACCTCTTCGAGTACGTTAGAGCAAAAGTGCATCACGGATGCCTTGTGAAGCAGGATACAGGTGTCTGGCCTTTGTTACATGATTGTATTATACCGACCCAAACTAAATGCTTAAAACGGCTGCTGCCAGATAAGTATGCGCCGAATGGATTCCCTAACAGAAAGATGATCGAACTGCTCCTTGATAATGGAGCAGACCCAAACAAGGAGATTCCTGGCAAGCAGATCACGGTCTGGGAGCAATTTCTTTGGCAGGAGCAACGCAATAGCTTCACAAGATCACTAGGAAATTATCATAAGGAAAGCGTGTGGAGGCACCTCCTTGAGATTGTTCCGCTTTTGCTGCACGCTGGAGCAGATCAACGAGCATTATGGGATCATTCTCGTATGATTTCGCTGGGGAATTCTCAAGTTGGTGGAGTGCTGCAAGAATACTTGCAGTCGAACACGCAGTCTTGGTTCAGTTGGCCTTGGAAATCCACTGAGACTAAAGCAAGCCATTTGGCCAGAATGATACCATTGCGCATACCTAGGTCCTCTATCCAAAATGACAGGGATTGGAACATAAAAAATACTTGAATTGGGTAACGTTCAAGTCAATCAATTTGTTTCGAATTTGACGACTCCCAATTTCCGAGTGGACTTGAGACGGTGGATTCTATTCCTGGAGTAAAAACAAGTTGTAAAGCCAAAGATTTTGGACTGGAATCAAAATTCCAAAGGCGGTTAGAATTTCCATATAAAACTGGCGGACAAATCTAGCTCAGGTGGCACAGAAGATATTGTTTGAACATATAAATCTCTAGTAGTCCGCTCCAGAGAAAGCTTCGATATACCGGGAGCTCTACCCAAACTCCCATGTTCCATCATCTATCAGCGCTCTTGTCTGTCGTCAACGCCATCAAGGCGCGACTCATGGGGAGGATTTGTCCATTCTGATATTGTGCAACCTTGCGGTAGAACTTTTCCACCTTCTCGTGTATGACAGGCTGGAATTCTTCAATCTTCTTCACCGAGAACATAGGGCTCAAGGCCTTCCGCCGAAGCCGATGGAGATCATGATTTGTAGTCGAGAAAATGTCGCTGGAATATCCAAACCGTCCTGAGAAATAGGGGTATTTATCGCGCCGACCCGTACCGGAGTACAGCTACTCGAAGTAGTCGGGATCGTCGATATGGAGTTCTGTTGGTGTAATCCGAACGATTGGCCCTGTGCGATTCACCAGTGTCAGGGACAATCTGACAGTGTTGGGATGCGGACCACCATACCGTATTGCTTGTGTAGGCTCTGGATCTGGACTGTAAATTGCCCTTGCAAGATCACATCGTAGTAGAATTCGTACCAGTTGCTCAGGGCAGCAAGCTTCGGACCAGGATACCCCGCCAGTGGGCTCCAACAGAGGCGATACACGGCTGCCACGGCCACGGAAACGAGCAGCAGGAGCGATGGAAGAACGCAGAGCGTCAGCAGCGTCAGCATTGACATTCTGACAGGCGTATTGGTGCGCAGAATTGACGCCGTGGAGGTGGGGTAGCGTTGGCGGTGACTTGGTGCTGGGCGAAGCAACCAACTTCTTAAAGACGGAGATTCCGGTCAGAAGTAACTCGGAATATAAGGTTAGCGATATGTATCACCGTAGCTTGGTTTTTCAGGGGGGGAGCCGCCTTCATACTATTCATGGGTGAGTTATATTTCGGGTGGCCGGAAGCTTAATTGTCTCATAATGCAGGCTCAAGATGTCAAATGGATGGCAGGGGGTTCGCGTTCATAAGGCTTGAATTCAAGTGTAAAAGATTAATATTAAAGTTGTTTAAAGAATATAAAGCTATAAAGAAAAAGAATGTTTATATAACTCTTAAAGAGAGCCATACTAGATACGGAAAACACGTGATACGCATCTGACACATGAAGACTTGATACTTTTTGCACTTCTGCAGGAGACGAATGATATAACCAAAGCGATAAACGACATTGCGAAAATTATTCCTTTATACGCGTCGGTACAGAGCAGCGATGCTACGCCTCTTAGCAAACCAATTGCAATCTCTACTAAGACGTGAGATCATTGTGAAGATCACAGACTCACCTACAATCGAAGGCTTTCGAGCTAGAAATCTTAGAAACTTATAGAATCACCTTGACCGTGCGATCGAACAAAGCAGAAACCAACACATTGAACGGATCCGCGTGGCATCATCTAATCAATTAAAGAGCGGAGACTTGAACGTCAAGACATCGGACAGAAACGAAGCGGAAGCCTTGAAATAATTCGCAAACGATTGGGTCGACCGTATCGGAAGAGGCACGAGTATACGACTCACTACAGCATTCTGGCGCACGAGACCAGGACTAGCTCGATGGATATGGAGAAGCTTGACGACATTAGGGCTGAGCTATTGCTTGATTACAGATCTTTCATACCAAATGCAGACATTAAATACATTGGATGGCTGGCAAGAGCTGCGCTCACAAAGTCAGCCTCGACCATCATCGTCGAGTTCACTCCAGAAGACGCAAACAAGTCCATTGACGAGGCCTTATTTAGCAACATCCAAGTAACGTCCCTTTCCGAGAGTAATCATCAACGAAATTGAGACTGCCGTGCATTAGTGTACATACGCCCACGACCACGGCGCAGCCAAACAGAAACCACCATCCGCCCCTCATAGCATCCGAGCACGTTTCCAGAAATATTGGTAGAGCCTGTTCCGACAGCAACGCTCTCTGGCTCTCCGGCTGCCTGAGTATATCTTCAATTTCGCTTGGCGACAGTCCAAGACCAGAGTTGGTCAGACCACGCTCCAGATGATTGACGAAGATTGCCGCAAACGCAGTGATGCCAAAAGTGTCACCAGTGCTCTGCATGAAAATGCTCAGTCCGGTAACAGCAGCAAGATGATCTTGCGGCACGGCCACCTGTGCCGTGAGCAGCAACCCTGACATTAGGGCAGCTTGCGCCGCGCCAATGGTGAACATCTCAACGGCAGCCACGGCGCGGGGCGTTTGTGCATCCCACAGCGTCAATAGGCCTGTCCCGAGGATCAGAGCACCAGAGCCGACTATGGCGTTGATGCGTGATTTGCCAAAGCGGCTGGTGATCCAGCCTGCGATGGGCCCGCCAGTAGCAATGCCCAGCATGAGAGGGAGAAGCCGGACTCCGGAGAGCGTAGGCGAGTTGTCGGAGACCAGCTGGAAAAACTGTGGGAGGTTGTATATGAGTCCGAGCAAACTAGTGGTCTTGATTAGCGTGAGCAATTGCCTGGGTCAGACGAAGTAACCGACTTTGCACCGTAGAAGAATTGTCCAATGCACAGCACGACAGCGGTGCGGTTGCGTAGGAGCGGCAATGGAAACAAGGCGACCTTGGAGTGATGCTCTACGACGGTGAACACAGCGAAGCCAGCAAGCCCTCCCACTATTGTGCCTATCTATGACTTGACCACTTGCCCATGGGAAGGACCTGCCGCCCCAAGAGATTCCAAGCAGAAGGCAGCTGGTGCTTCCTACCAGCAGAACAGATCCCAGGAAGTCCATGCTCTTGAACTTCTCATTCCATGTCATCTGAGGAGGTGGGAGCTTAAGAACCAGAACGGATATCAAGAGACCTACACCAATGTGAGCTCAAATCGACAGCAAGTTGCTCCGCCGTGTGATGGGAACCTTGCGCAACTCACATATCGGCCCAATGCATAAATTGATCCAGAAGCACCATCTCCAAGTCACATACTCTGCGAAGGACCCGCCGAGGAGCGGTCCAGCAACATCTGCCACCGCCCAGGTGGCCAATATCGCCGAGATATACTTTCCAGCATCGCGCAGAGGCACCAGACCAGGGACTATGACCCATCAACCATTTTTAAGCCCGATGAGCATGTGGGACCTGACTTATAACTCACATTAACCAGGCCATAAATGCCACCGGAACCTATGCCTTGTATGACCCGCGACCAGATTAACATATCCATGGACTTGGAACTAGCGCAAAGGCCACTGCCGAGAATGAATACCGCATTTGCGAAGATGAAGGCTTCTCTCCGCCCAAAGTTATCGCTCAGCTTAGCATACAACGGTAGAGAGTTCGCAAAGGCGATGAAGAAACCCGTTGCAAGCCAGGAGGACTTATTATAGCTGCGAAATCTAGCAGGTGCGTTAGTTACAGTTCTGTTAAGTAACTCAAGAAGAGAGGAATTCTGCGATACGTACTCTGAGCTTATGGCCGGTGCCGCAGTGGCGACGATGTTGACATCAAGCGCCGATAGCAGCATCGAGACGATCAAACCCACCATGACAATCCAAAATTGAGCCAGTGTGAGGCTGGCCTTCGCTCCGGGTGTTGAGGGATCGTTGTTTGTTAAGTCGGCACTGGACTCACCGGTGGAGCCAAGGTGCGGGAAGTCCTTGAGAGGGTAGGTCTCTATGTTTGCCTCGTCCATGACAACGACTTGGTCCGATGGAACTTTTCGCTCGGATAACCGGTTCGATGGGCCGTTAATTAAGGGGGTATGTCTCTTTAGGTGGGTGTCCGTTTTTATTATCCTAAGAGGGACTTTCGAAGCAGCAAAAACTCACTTTATCCCCGTGTACGTTACGAGTCTTGGGCATTATGGTGGGGGGATGGGGGTGTTAGAAGGATCTATTATGCGTCAAAATTCAAGTCCACGGCTTAACTAGATGCTAAACTAGATATTACTAGCTGTTGCTAGGATGAGGGCACATGTTAGGGACTATGATGCTGTTTGTTGATACAACTGCTGGCTCAGGTTTCAAACCGCTATCTATTTAGATGTCAGGCCCAGGAGAGGTGGGCTGGGTGGCATACAATATTTCGCATAAGGTTAGATCTGCAGAGCCTAGTTCCTTCCTCATTCATAGGTAGATTAGGGGAAGATGCGAAGCAAGCATCACCACCCGTACCATACGCTGAAGGAGTGGCATGCGGGCCAGAGGGAAAAGCGGAAGAGGGAGAGGTGGGTGCCGTACTCGCTGCGCTGGGAAGGCGCTGGGTTTTCAAGGATCTTGCCACAGGTCTGTCCTTTACTTCTCTGCACCTGTGCTTATACTTTGTACTTCCACCAAGGTTCACGGATAGGGCCGTCGGCATGCCACAGGGGAAATAAATTTAGTTTCTCATTACTCATTACCTACTGACCTCGATGGTTCGCGCAGATCGTGCTCTCGGGCGCCGTTGCATCGCTCATTGGCGCCATGGCGCACTTTACGGGCGACAGCGTGTCCATGCACTCCCCTATTCTGTTCCCGATATTCACCTTTGCAGCACAAAGCTCACAACCCCGCCCGCAGATTCGTGGTCGGTTTGGCAATCACGTTCCGGATGCAGTCGTCGTACAATCGCTGGTGGGACGGTCGAATCCAATGGGACAAGCTGTCGGCGGACTCGCGCTCGTTCGCGCGCACCATCTTGTTACACGTGCCGCAACCCGCGTCGCTTGATGAAGCCGTGATGATCCAGGACGTTGCGAGGCGCACAGAGGTTATGTCACGGCCTGGACAAGCTGTGGAAGTGGAATGTGGTGTGTTTTGGTATAAATATGTATGAATGATGGTGCCCTAAGGGCGGTGAAGAAGCTATACGCCTGTGCGCAGCACGTGACAGGTTATCAGGTGCGTACATACGCTTGCCGTTGCTCTGAAGCACCATTTACGCGGGGAGCGAGACTGGAGCGAGTGCCGGGACCTGAAGCAGCTGTGCGCGCATCTTCCCAACGTGAGTACGAGTATCTGAGGCTCTTCCAGCCCGTCAAGGTAACGCCATACGAGTACTCCTTGTACTCCTTAGACAGCTGAACTGACACAACCACAGTACAACTACGCAGCGACAAACCATCCTCTCACAATAACGCTCCACCTGTCCGCCTACATCGACGAATACCGACGCACCACGCCCCCTATTATAATTTTAGTTTCGATTTAATTAGATCTAGCTGATAAGAATAGAGCTAATTCAATATAGCCTAATAATAAATCTACTAATAAAACTAGATAAGAAGAACCTAATAAGAGAAAAAAGCAAGCTGAGCTTAAGACTTCTAAGAAATAGCAAAAATCTAAATACTAGTTCAAGTATAAGACTAGTAAAATAGAGGAAAATAAAAAGGAAAGTAAAAAGAAATCCTTTATTCTAAAAAGAAAAATACTATCTAAAAAGACTTCTATATTTATATCTGGAACTAAAAAGCAGAAAACTAAGAATATTAAATCCAGAGAACTTAAAGATATCTAATATACTTATAAGATACTAGCTAAATAGAAATTAATACTTATTTAGTAAAATAAATATATTTTTAAGGAAATATATAATAGTATTTTAAGACCTATTTATAAGCGAGAATACTATAGAATTACTAATAAATTCTTTAAAGCTTTCTATATACTATATATTTAATAGCTTATTAATACTTTTTCTATTAATATAAGAAATATTAATAATATTAAGAACTCTCTAAAGCTAGTTACTAAAATCTATAAAGTTACTAAAGGCAAAAAGTATATTTCTATTACTTGAGTAAATAAGGAAATACAGGATTTCTTTTATAAAAACCGGGAAATTAAAAAATATAAATATAAGTACTATATTTTTAATTAATTCTATCTAAATCTATAGCTCTAATTCAATATTATAGTTTCTGTTCCTGAATCTAGTATTACTAATCTGGATATAAATAGTTATATTTATAAGAAAAATTACCTAAAATAAATTAAAAAGCTTAATATTTAAAAGCTTTTAATAAAAAATTAAAAAATACTATAGTTTTATTTCTAAAAAGATAATATATTAAAATATAAAGATTTAAATAATAGCTATTTTACCTTAATTTCTTAATTCTTAATAGTAGATCTATTAATATAGTTCGGATTTTATAAGATATTAAATAAGTATTCTATTTATCTAATTATTTACTTTTAGCTAGCCTAATATTATATTTCTAGAAATATTAATTATAATTAATATAAAGATAATACTAAAGATCTAGTTATTACTAAAGCTTTAAATAGTAAATTCTACTTTAGTAAAAAGTATTAGAATATTAGCTATATTTTTTTTATAAATTATAAAAAAATTATTACTTTTAATAAAAAGTTCTTTAAAAATATTAATTACTTTTCTATTTCTAATAAATTTAAGCCGGAAGTAATTAAGGAAATAGGCGAGTATTTACTAAAAATAATAGGAGAAAAGATTCTAAATATAGTTTATTTAATTAGATAAATAAATACCTTTAGCTAGGTAATCTATAAGTCTGAAATTATAAGTAAATATTAATTCTCGAATAATATATAAGTTAAAGAATAGCTTAATAATAATTTATTATTTAATAGGCCTTTTACTATAATTCTAATAAGTCTAGTTATTATTAAGAATAGAATATATAAAAATGAAGTCTCCTATAAGGTTATTAAAGCCTCTTATCTAGAGCTTTCTTCTTTTATTAAAGATTAATTCAAGAATACTATAAATAATACGAAATTTAAAAGAGCTATTTATTTGAAATATATTAGTATAATTTATAATATAATTTGCTATAATAAGCCTTCTTAATACCTAGTAATAAAGGCGGAAATTAAGTAATAATTAAAGGCAAATACTACTAAATATAAAGAACTATATCGGATTTAGTATAAGAATATAGCTAAACGGGTTTAGACTATTTTTAAATAAGTTTAGGAATATGAAATAAGACTATTTAAGAATAATAAGTTTTATTTTAGATATATTAAGGAGAAATTGGATTAGCTAATAAAGAAGAATCCTAATTATTTTATTATTTCGGATTCTAAATAAGATTTTTCTATTAGTTTTAGTATTTAGGAAATAAGTATAAATAAATAGAGGATCGGATATAATATAGTAGGCCATACTCTCTAAAAATCATATTATTTTAGCGGTTTTAAGATTTTGGTTATATAGTAAAAACTATGGCGTTTTATATATAACTTGCAAAAATCATATAAGAAAGCTAGTTTTTTTATAGTTCTAGAGAATAATCCCTTATAAGTATTTAATTAATTAAGCTTTTATATACTATATACTATTTATACTTTACTATTTATGCTTTTAATTTATTATTTTGCTATTAAGTTATGTTTTGCATTCTGGTATACTTTATGTGGGTTTTTGTCTTATTACAGTTTCCCTCCTATAGTATACGGGCCAGCCGCTGCTTTCAATGTCTATAAAAGTTTACACTCCCCTGCTACTCGACCTTCTTCCTCTTTAATCCTTTCCCAATATCCTCTCGCTCGGTTACAGGATCTTATTATATGCCGTCGACCCCTACCTGCGCAAACCCATCCCGAATAACCCCTCTGCCGCCCTTGCCATAGCTAAGAACGACGGTCCCGGCCGGTTTGAAGCCAGAATCCTTAATCTGCTACTATAGATTTAATACTCTCGACTATTGCAATAGTAATCACTTCTCTAGATAGTATTATGTTACCCGAGATATAAGCATAAGCTCTGCTTACAACTCTCTTCTCGCTATTATACTATTATAATTCTTATAGTAATACTCCCTCGGTAACTGTAATAGTAGAGGCTTGCGTTTAGTATTTCTTTTATATAATATAATCTGGCTAAGAGAAAAAATGCCTTATAATAATATAGCCGGCTTCTATCTAGCTATATTATAGTATTATATATTAAGAGAAGTATCTCAGTAAGTTTCCTTATATAGTAAATATAATAATATATATTATATATCTTAATCTGGGCTAATCTATAATAAAAAAACCTAATTTCTGCCAAATATAGCTATAGCAGGTAATAATCTATATAATAATAGTATTATTATAACTTCTGCTAAATATCCTATAGACCGAATATAAAATGCTAGTAATAAGAGAATGAATTATAAGCAGGTAGGCTAATATAGAAGATTATACGGAGGCAGGTTATATAACCTTAAAAGGAGCTTAATCTATTACTATTATATATTAGAAGAACGGATCTAGTAATTTTAAAGGCTATTTCAAGGATCTTTTAACTCCAGGATACTACTATAACAGAATTATAAGCGCTACCAGAATAGATATAATATAATCGACTTTATAAAGTCTCAATTCTATAAAGGAAAGGTTATTCGGGCTCAGCTATATAGAGATAGCTATAAGCTTTATAGAATAGATATAGTGAATTGAATTTCGAATAGGATTAGACTAATTACAGGCCAATTTCTCGATCTTTAGTAAAGCCGAGAAAGGCTAGGAATTATATAATAAACAAGTCCTGGTAAAAACCTGAAGGAGTTGAGATTTTATATAAAGAACCAGATTAATTTCAGGATAGTATACGGGAATTACGAGTAGTAAAGCTAATATATAGACGAGACTAGTCCAATTCCAATAAACAAGCGCTTACGGGTTATTACTTAAGCCGTTTAATCCTTTTCTCTCCCCTCTCTATTAAATATTTCATATATTCTCAAACTTATTTGCTTTCTACCCACTTCGTTTTGTAATAGCTGCTCTTAAAAGTATATAATTTGTATAATTTGTATTTCCTTTATTAAATCTACTATTCTATAACGGAAATACTTTCTGGCCTTCTAAACCCAGCCATTCAAACCGTTTACTCGATACCAGTAGCAGCCAGAAAATATATAGACCTGTGGCTACTTCTTCCCGTTTAAGTCAAATTAAGGCAGATAGAAATACGGTAGCAAGAGCTAAAGATATATAAAAAAGCTATACCAAAAGTGAAATCATTCTAATCTATTAATCTAGATTATAAGTGCGTTCCTGCTAATAATAATAACGAATCAAATAACGATTTTCTATCTCTCGAGAAGCTTTCGGGCTATTTTATATTAGAAGATCTTGACTGAGGCCTCAAAGATCGGGTCTACTATTTAGTATCTAGAATAGCTAGCTCTTTCCGGGGTTGGACTATAAGTCAACTGAATATAATTAGAATCGGGCGAATATTAGAATAGTAGTCGAGATAGATATACCGGCTGTTTTTTATACTCAGAAGCGGCCCGCTAATTATATGCAGATTAGCTAGTAATTCTCGATAATAACGACCTAGATAAGGCAGGTACTAGGGATCAGACCAAAGGCGCTTCCGGTAATATTAAACGGGATACAAGTCTGTAAAACGCCTTTACAACCTCAGAACTCGCTTCGGCGCCGACAGAGTCTATTAATACATTCGGTCCATAGTATGGCATTAAGGAGCCAGCCCTAGGGCTCGGGTCTTCTGAGCCGTATAGTATGCCTTCTGCTCCCGTATAAGCCCAACCCAAGACCCTCCCCTAATCCCCCAAGCCACTATAAGATCAGAGTAACCAGTAAGGTATTAATAATATTACTCAGAGTATGTTAGTAGAGTCTGCGCCCCACTCCCTCTCCAGGCTTCCCGATAGCGGCAATAATAGATAGACTAATAAGAGTATGGCTAAACTAGAGAAAGAACTTGGGTTGGCTTTAAAAGAGTAAGGGGATTCACCATTTGCCAGTATATCTACCTCCCCAAGTCCTTACTCAGTCGAGGCACTACAGGACAAGATCCAGAGTCGAGAATATAGCGAAACCACCGGTGGCAGACCAGAAGAGCTACAAAATGCTTCTTGATATGGTATCCCAGCTCAGGGCCTTGAGTAGTGGGAGTAGCGGGAGACTCAGGTAGTAGTAGAAATACTAGAGAGGAGGGAACTTGGGGTAGAAGAGCTAGTAGGAGAAGCGGGAAGGGTAGAGATACGGCAGTAAGGGGAGCTTGCAGGGCGGCTAGCTCTAGGTAATTAGCAGAACTTAGTAGAGGTAGACAATATAGACGATCCTCTGGATAAAGAGGCTACCGAGGCTCTGCTAATCATATAACTAGAGATCGATAATTACTATTTTCGACTCTATAGAATATATATCTAGTAGCTTACTAGACGCCAGATAAAGACAACCTAGTATTGAGTTATATAGAGTAAATATCTAAATAGGTCTAATTCTTGAATTAATAAAGATAATATATAGATATTAATTCTATGGCTGCTTTATAAGCAATTTCTCTAAAACTTAGCCTTATAGATAAAAAGAAATATTATACGAGTTTACTATATATACTATAGCAAATATAGTAAAGGCAAGAACATTTTTGAATATAGTATATAGTTAATAAGCTCTTTACCTAAATTATTAAAGTTTAACTATAAATCTTATTTAGTTCTATATTACTTACTAAGCTTAAAGATAACTAGTTATATTATAAGTATCCTATCTTGGAAATTTTAAGAAATAGTTTACTAATAGAATATATCTCAAATAGTGTCTTCTACTAATTTCTTAAGCCTAGTATAGTCTAAGGCCTATCCCAAGTATATAGCAACTCTAATTAATAAGAAGTACTACTATATTTCAAGAGCCTTTTAAAGTTCCTTTATTATATTTACTTTATAAAACCTGGTATAAAGTATTAATCCTGTAATATAAAAGCAGGAAAAGAAACAGAGGTATTAAGACTTATATAGTAGCGAAATCCTCTATTTCATAAATACTAATAATAATTATAATACCTATAATACTAATAATAAGAACCTATAACCTGTAAAGCGACGAAAGCCATATATAGTACCTGCTATAGCTTTAATTATCTACTATAGATATATTTTAGAGCTTCTACCCGAATAGTCTCGCTTTCTTATAGTACTATTAACCGCCAGACTTGAGATTAATAATATATAGCCCCAGGCTAATAATGAATATTTATTAACCTTTATTAATAAGAGCTATTAATATATCTTATAAATTTCTCGGAGTTTATCTATTATAGAAGGGAAACTATAATAAGACAAAAACCCATATAAAGTATACCAGAGTGCAAAACATAACTTAATAGTAAAATAATAAATTAAAAGCATAAATAGTAAAGTATAAATAGTATATAGTATATAAAAGCTTAATTAATTAAATACTCAGGAGGGATTATTCTCTAAAACTATAGAAAAACCAGCTTTCTTATATAATTTCCGCAAGTTATATATAAAAGGCCGTAGCCTTTACTATATAACTAAAACCTCAAAATCGCCAAAATAATATGATTTTTGGAGAGTACGGCCTGCCGTACCATACTATAGTAATAAAGGCAGTATTAGTTACCGAGTATTAGGAATAGCTCTTCCAAGGCTTCCTTAAATATACCAGGATCGGAAATAATATAATTTATAATCTTGAGTTTAAACTACTATTAATCTCGGAATACTTTTGTTTACTAATTAATTCCGTAGTACTAGATATTAATTATGACTCTGCTATATATTCCAAGATATATCAAGTACTATTAAAGCTAAAGAGAAACAAGGTTTTATAGATAAAAGAGAAAGATATAATATTCCTCCGGATATAGAATAAAGACTATTTATAGGAATATATCTTTACTGCCCTCCCTAGCCAGAGTAAAGGGACTATCCGGGTATACTATTCGACAAAATTTAAAAAGCGACCTCATACAGGGGCCGGCCGTTCTTGAACTAGAGGAGCGGCCACCGCTTTATTAACGTTAGGGCTCCTGTATCGGAGAAGGTTAAACCGTCAAGCAGCGGCGATAATAACGATTCAAGTAATGGCGATCCTGAGTCTAGCAGCGACTATGACGGATGTTCGAGCGAGGCCGAGCAGGACCGTTTGAGCACGAGTAAACAGAGCCAATGGCCAGACCTGGACAAGCAGTTCTTGCTGGCATATAAAGAAAGAGGGCAAGTCTTGGGACTAGATCTTCGGCAAGTTCCCAGACAGGACACCGGCTGGAGTACGCACGCGCTGGACCATGGTACAGCGAGCAGCTCTGCTGGGACGAATATCTAATGAGGGCCTCGTCCTTCTATTGGCCAGTCCCACCGCGGGAGCAGGTGCGGCCGAGGGAAGCGGCGTTCAGAGGGAGGATGGGGGGGGGGATCAAATTCATGGGTGACACGTCACAAAAGAAAATGAAGAGGTTGACATCGGAAGAAAACATGAGGCGCAACAACTGTAACCACTTGGCACACTGTCCAATTCCTTTGCCAAGTCCAAGGTCAATCAATATCCCTTTCGGTTCTCTTTTAGTGGCAGCTTCGGTAATAATAATATTATTTTCAGAAATATCCAGATGAAAAAGTGACATTCGGTTCCCCTAACTAATGCTCATAGCCAGCAAATATAGGCTCTCGAGTTCCGGAGCTAATAGCACTGCATTTCATTCGACTAAGCGCTTCGGAGGATGAAATTCGAAGTATCCAACACGTGTAAAGTGTTATTATAGTCTTGAGCAAGATAAAGGTCATTTGAAACCCATCCGTTACTTGCGAAACTATCTATTTACAAGCTGACATTTTGGTAATCTTATCATGTCCATTTTGCTTCGCTATCGAAAGAAGAGTATTCCCATTTTCGTCTATAAGGCTAGGGTCCGCCCCTGCTTGTAATAATAGCCTAACGATATCGTGGTATCCGGATGCAGCGGCCCAAAAGATAGGAGGGCGACCAGTTGTGCTTTGCGAATTGACGTCGACAAGTTTAGTACTGAGTAGTATTTGAACTACTTTGAGATGACCACGTGTTGCGGAAATCCAAAGTGGAGAGACATGCCGAAGACTTTTGAGATCAGGTTCGACCCCTTCTGCTAATAGCTTCCGTATCGCATCCTCCTTCCCAAACTTTGCTGCGTTATATAACTGGGCAATTAACAGTCGCCTTTGGAAGGGAAAATCTTGAAATGCCCCTCAAAGATTTTCAGGACCTTCTCTTGACCGCATGTCACTGCTGCCTTTGCGGCTTCTCTGTGATGGCCACGTCCGCCCCTCGCTGCTCGAGCAAGAGCGTTATCACCTCTTTCCCCCTCATATAATTCCCCGCCGCTGCCTTCACAACCTCTTCTGTAATCACCACGTCCGCCCCTCGCTGCTCGAGCAAGAGCGTCATCACCTCCTCACCGCTCTCTTCATTCCCCGCCGCTGCTACCACCACCGCTTCTGTGATTACCGTGAGACAATTTCCAATTAGCATCGGAATCACACCACAACTGCCATGCCTCACAGCAACCTGTAAAGGTGTCCTGCCCTGGTTGTTAGTTAAGTCATCTCGGAGCTTCACCCGATTTCCTGCGATTTCCTCTAAATCAAAGCAGGATGCAATAAAAAGAGTTCTGTCCTCGTAAGCTGCAGTGTCTTTTAATTTCTCGCGTAGTCCCCTTCCGATCGAGGAACCATTAAACCGGTCCTCAATTTGACGAGCCCATATAATAATGGCTGATCTTGGATCTGACTCGTGAGAGAGGAAATAATAGAGAAGGCCCTTGAGTTCGCCGGTAGTCCTTTAATTAACTGCTAATCACTTCACTTCACTTCTTTATATTATCGTACGTTTGGACCACCCTTAAGCAGTTGGCTCTCGGGGCTCCTGGAAAAAAACTGGTCACGTAAGGAACACCAGAATCGCCCCCTTCTGGGGAATCGCATATCGGAACGCAATTACATCCAAATCCTTAGAGCTTAGCTTAGGATTATAAAGAGAATACTCGAGTATCTTTCTCTATATTTTAGTAGTTCTGAGATATAAGGGGCTTTTATTATAATTTTTTAAAGCTCGGGGGGAAATCTGAAGCTAGCGGTTCCGTAAAAAGCACTAAGAAAAGAAATCCTGACCTTATATTACTTTCCTCTTTTTCTTCTCTTTATTACTATAGATCCTCCCCGCTTTTATACTTCCTATAGGCAAAACTGGCCTGCTTCTGACTTTATTATAGAGTAGACTAAGCCATATAAAACTTGCTTTTATTATCGAGTTTATATCCTTTCCCTTTTCTGGCTTAATTAACTAGTTAATAGGCCCGAAATACTACTAATTATATTTAGTAGTACCCTGTCTTATAAGAACTCGATCCAAATACCCTTTCTATTTCCCGGTAATAATAATAATTAATTATAGATATCTCTATAGACGAGCTAGCCTTATGGCACTAGTAATAGATCCGTTAATCGTCTATTACGGCCCCAGTTTATATTATAGAGAATCCTCCTGCCGACCTATTTACTATATAGCCTCTTGCCTTTCTCTTTTACTTCCGGCTAGCTATTATATATATAACTAGTCTGCTTACGGGTTATTATATAACTTGCAGAGCCCTTTATTTTAGCTATATAAATAATTACTTTAAGGCCTATTATAAGAAGAACAATATAATATTTCCTCTAATTCACAAGTCTCCTTTATACTTCTCTTACCTCTTTATAAATAATAACCCGCTTTACTAAGCCTTCCGGACAAATATCCGAATATATAATTATACTTTTATTTTTATATTAATTAGTTATAAGAAAGATACCCGGATTAACTTCTTTTATAAAATCTAGTACTTTTAGATCTATAGTAAGCTCTTCTACTTTTAAGGCCTGCTATAGCCTGCTTTATATATTAAATCCTTCTTTATATAACTAATCTATAGGCTACTAACTTCTTTTACTTAAATTATATAATTCTTTTATAATTTACAAATATATTTACAAATTATAATTCGTTTATTATAATCTATAAAATAGTCTATAAGTATCTTATAAGCTAATAAACCGATTTCCGGGTCTTATTTAATCTATAAATATACTTAATTCTTAAATTAGATATTAATTATTATTATAAGAATCTTCTAATAAGTAATAAGGTTATAGCCCTTATTCCGGACAAGTATATAGATATAAGCTATTATAATCTAGTATTTATAGTTTATAAGGCAGGTTATAAATATCTATAAATATATATAATATATATATTATTCTATTATATTTTATTTTTCTCATATAGTAACCCGGGCTAGTATTATAATTTATAGTTATAAGATTATAATAGAACTCATTAGTAGATATAGCTAGAATAATAAGTCTTTTACTAGTATTATTTCTATATTTATCTGGCCTTTTTCTTGCTTTTTTATACTAGTTATCTCTTTTAGTAATATATTATTAATATATATATTACTTATAAAACTACTTTACTCGACTAGCTCTATTTATATTAGTAAAATATTCGTATAAATATATATATAAGACTTATAAATATTCTAATTTATAAGAATATTTATATAAGTAATGTTATCTATTATATTGTTTTTCTATTAAGCTTTATAGATAGTAATTATTTTATATAATAGCTCTTTTAAGACTTAATAGCTATTATATAATACTTTAGTAAGCTAAGCTTTTTTATTACTTTTATAGCTAATTTATACTAGCCTAAAATTATAAATTACTTTTTAAATAAATAGTAAACTATTAATTATTCGGATTTCCTTTACTAGATCTTTATATTAAAAATAAGAAAGCTATTTATAGACTTAAAGAATTATCTTTTTAGATTATATATAAGCTATATATATATAATTAAATACTAGAAATATAGCCTTTTATATATATATTTGTTTTTATTTTTTAAGAAAAAAGCCGTTTTTTTAATTCCCGATTTAATTAATAAAGTTATTTATATTAAGCTCCTAAATCTATTATAGGATTCTATAGGCGAACTTATAATTATAGTAACTAGTCAAATATTTTACGAATTATATAGCCTTAAAAATAATCCGAAAGCCCTATATATAATTTATAAAATGTCTATAGCCCTACTTATATACTAGAAAAGATTTCCTAAAACATTTATAGCTATAATAATTATTTATAAGAATAGATATCTTGAATACTAATACTAGAATAATAGTTATATATTTATAGTTTATAAATCAGGCTTTCTAGACTAGAAAGTCATTTATAATAATTATTAGATTATTTTATATAACTTATATCTTTTTTAGAAGTTCTATTCCTATATTAATATTAAGATTTATATTTTTATATAAGTAATTAAGTATATCTATAAATATATTTATAAAGAAACGGATTATATAACTATTATAGTTTTAAGAATAAATAATAAGATTATCTAATACTTTTAAGCTTAATATATAAGTCCTATAAAAGCTTTCTAGTACCTATTCGAATACCTAATATATTAGGAGTTCTTTTTAGTCTAGTATTTAATAATTTACCTTTTTAAGTAATATATAATCTGCTTTATAAATAATTTCTTACTCGAGTAAATTATAAATAGAGCTATAAATACCTGTTTGATTTTAATAGCCTTTTTTAAATATAATATAATATATAAGAATAATTACTAGTATTTATATTATAAGTTCCTATAATACTTTATATAAATTACTAAGACCCGGATATAGAAGTATTATAAGCGAGAATATAATATTAGCTATATCTATTATTATAGCCTAGTTTCGGGCAAGCGGTTCTATTTATAGCTCTTATTAATAGTTATATATAGTTTATAATTCTTTAATAAGCTTTATTTAATTAAGGGTATTTATTATCTTATATACTATAATGGCAGGAATAAAGCAATGAAATAATACTCAAAGATTTATAATTCCAATATCTTACAGAATCTAAAGTTAAGGAAAAAAGGAGTAAGATATGGCAGTGGATAAGTAGGTATGGCCAAGACTACCGAAACGCCGAGCTTTGGAAGCGAGCTTGGTTTGAATCATAGCTTGGAACCTTAGCTGAAACCGACCCCTTAGCTGAAACTACGTTCGTATTAACCATGTAACACTAGCCGTTACATATACTATATTACCTGTATTACTTGCGGTTTAGTAAAAAACAATCGGAAATAGTTCTAGTATTTTAATAAGGCTATCTGATTAATAATTAGCTATAGTTTATAAATACTTTTTCTTATAGGTATTTATTAGTAACTAATTATAAATATATAAGTAATCTGGAACTAATATAAGAAGTATTTCTATAATAACTTAGTCTATAAGCTCGCCTATAACCCATTAATTAACTTCCTGCTATTTTTAATTAATTCTTATTATAATTATAGCCTCTTTTTACTTGGTTTTAGTTTTATAGTTTTATAGATTTCTAGTAAATACTTATAAATATTACCTTATCTAAAAATACTTTTAATTAGATTATAAGCTATTATATAGCTAATCTATAGATTAATTATATTTGTAAGATATTACTAGTAATTATAATATAAGCCTAACTAAATATAAACTAATACTCTTATTTCTAGATAATTCTAGTAGTAATTATAGATAATTTATAAATAACTTACTTCTATTTATAAGACCCGAGCGGAACTAGTAAAATATTTCTTTATAAGACCTTCTATTACTATTACTATAGCTAAGATAAAGTTATTCTATATATAGTATTAATAAATATTATGGCTTTTCTTTTTCCGAATAGATATATATCTTATTTCTAGTTCCAAATCCTGTTTAAGCTTAATAAATTATTTGTAAATATAATTATTAAAACAAGCTAGCTCGGGGTACTCTTATAATCTATAAACCTAATTATCTGAAATAAGATATTTATATAATATAAGTATTATTTTAAGATAATATATTATCTAATAATTAATTTATAATTAGTTATAAATAATATTTTCTTTAAAGAAGTATCTGTAATTCTTGAAAGAAACTTTACCTAGATTTTACTAATAGTTCTATATAATTTATAAGCTAATATAATATAAGCCTGCCTATAATAAATATAGATCTAGCTATAGCTCTATTAGTTATTATTATGAATTAATATACGGGTTTAATATAACTTGTCTAAATAGGATTTTATAAACTAGATTAATAGTTTTCTATATAACCTATTTCTAAATAAGTAAATTATATTCCTGTTTTTTATTCCGTATACCGGATTAGTTACAGACCTAATTAATTATATCTATTTATAAGACTAACTCTTATAAGTCCTATATAATTACTAGGTCTTTAGTAAATAAATAATTCTATTAATCCTAAATAATATAATTTATAAGTTTAACTAAATAATCTTAAATATATTTTCTGGCCAGAAATAAATATATTTTATAATAGATTTAGCTAATATAAATAAAACAGATCTTAAGATTACTAAATTATCTCCAAAAGTCTTATAAAGTATCTATTTACCGGATCTATTTCTTTTTAAGCTATAATTTAAGATTACTATATCTATAATATTCTTATAGAATCTTTATTTATAGAAAGGATTTTATAACGGGTTATAGATATTAATATATAGCTTTAAGAGATTCTCGATTCGAATATAGCTACTAAATAGTAATTTTAATAGCTAATTACGAATAATTCCACGAATTAAGCTCTAGTTTATAAATTAGTAATTATATTTTATACTTTCTTCTAAGTAGTTTCTATTTATTTTATTCTTTATAATAATTATTAATAAGTTATAAGGCTAGTTATTTAAGGTAATAGAAGTAGATTTATAATTACTAGTTTTTTCTTATAGCTAGTTCTATATAGCGGCCTTATAAGTAATCTTATAGATAAGGCTTTATATTCTTTTATTTCCTAATATAAATTATATAAGTAATATAATATATCTAGAAATATTATAAGGTCTTACTTAGCTTTTAACTTACTTACAGGTAACTTTATATATTTATAGACTATTTTTCTTCTTATATTATTTATAAAGAATCTGTATCTAATTTATATGTTTAGCTAAAAGCCTTTATTATATTTTAAACTTATTCGAGACAAGTTTAGGGCAAAATTATTACTAGCCCCGGAGCTTATATAAGGCTACTAGTAATAATTTTTGTAAAGCGGCCCTAAACTCATATAATATATTATCTAATAAGGAAAAAGTAAAACAGAATTCTAAAAGAAAATATAGGCCCCAAGCTAGTTGAATTATAGAAGATCTATATCTAGATAAATACTATCTATTATATAATTTATTAGAGTTTAAGTTTCGAATAGTTTAAAGAAATTAGCTAGTACTTTAGATAAGTTAGAATACTATTTATAAAAGATTTCAAATAATTCTTTAAATTAGATATAGAAGATTTCCTTAATTAGATCCGAGCTCCGTTTCTTCTTTTTAATAAGCTTTTAATACTTAATTAAACTTAGATAAAGACGTTTTCTAGAAGAGATTAAGGATATAAAACAAGGTATTCTTAATATACGAAAAGAGGGCTTATAAAAAGTATATTAGAAGATTAGTTAAGTAAATTAGGAAAGAGAATTAAGGGATTTGAAATAAGAGAATAAAGGAAAGAGAAAGAGGGAATTTAGAGATAGATATTTCAATTTCAAGTTTAGAGAAAATAATATATTATACTAGTTTAATATTATATAGAATTATAAAGAGCTATATTTTAATACTAGCCTTAGTTTTTATTAGTAAATATAGCCTAAAGTTTTAATTAGTTACAGGCTATTTATAGAAATAAAATTACTAATTATATTATAAAATATCTCAAAGTAATAATATAATAATAATTAAAAAGAATTTTATAAATAGAATATAATTATAGGTTAGTAATTAATTTATAAAAGATATACTATATTATTATTACTATTATTACTAAAATATAAACGGAATATAATATATATTTTATTTCTAACCTTATTTATCTTTTTTTAATAATATATAATATAAATAATACTAAAATATATTAGCTTCTATAATACTAGATAAGATAAAATTAATCTATAACTCTCTTATAATCTCTCTTGCCTTTTTTTATATTTATTATTCTAACTAATTAAAAATAGTAAATAAAATTATAGCTTAATATATAAAGAAAGAAAGAATAAAAAAGTAATAAAAGCAGATAAGAATCTTTATATATATTATAGTATAGCAAGCCATACTTTCTAAAAATCATATTATTTTAGCGGTTTTGAAATTTTAGTTATATAATAAAGGCCGCGGCCTTTTATATATAACTTGCGGGAATTATATAAGAAAGCTAGTTTTTCTATAGTTCTAGAGAATAATTCTTTCTTAGTATTTAATTAATTAAGCTTTTATATACTATATACTATTTATGCTTTTGACCTTATTATTTTATTATTAAGTTACGTTTTGTACTCTGGTATACTTTATATAGGTTTTTGTCTTATTATAGTTTCTCTCCTATAATATAGTATTGCCTTTTAATACTAGCCTTTATAAAACCGATCCAGAACTCCGGATTATCCTATTTATATATATATCATAAGGAGAATAGTGGTATAATATATAAAGAAGGAAAGAATAGAAAAAGATAGAGGAGATTAAAGGCTTTTATTCCGGATATCTTCTTTTAATAATATACTTGTAATTCTCTAGTACTTTTAGGGTTAATTATTAAGATCTTAATAATATATATCTCTAACTAGCCTTTTTTCTCAATATATATAGTATTATTCTCAAAGTATAATATTATACTTAACTTCTATATAATACTTGTTGTATTGAGAATTACTAAATTGGGGCTAGCGCGATCGCTCTGCTTAGTCAGGATCTGTATACTTACTTCCTGAAGCTTCACACTTCACTCAAGATCTTTTCTAGCTAATTCAATTAACTCTTTTACCATTCAATGCAACTCCCTACTCTGTGATCTTTACGTGTATTAATACTTGAATTAAATCACGGTTTTAAGAACCAGCCTAGCAGCCTCGTATACCGGATAGTAATAGGCGACCGTCGGTCCTAGCTTCTTATATAAGTAGCTCTCGATATAGTCTATTATCTTTGCGGGCCGGGAGAAGGTCTTCTTCTTCGTCTTACCGGCATAAAAAAAGAATATACTGAGTCTTCTCGCAGATCAGGGGAAAGGGCTCTGGATCTGGAGACAATTTACTCGAAGAATATTTTAGGGGTAATGCTTTGCTAGCGGACTGGTAGCTGGAGTGATCGCTGGAGCTCTCGCGGCTCGGGACAGAGTAAGGTTTAGGCCGTGGCGTCTCCCGCTGAAAACAGAGTGCCACCATCAGATCAACCGCGCGAATCCGGCATCGGACGATGTCTTCCGGACTCAAGTCCTTAGGGAAGCAGTAGAGGACTTCCTGTAGCCGCGTCCGTTCAGGGAGTTAGTAATGGATAACGGGTTCCACATAATCGGCGGTCTCGATCTTGTTTAGCTGTCTTAATTCTTCATTATAAATGCGGTAGAAATACTGTCGCCGGAATGCCTTCTTGATGTCTTCCTCCCACTTCTTAGTCGCACTTCTGATCATTTGACCGAGCTTCTGGTGTCTCTTCCCATTCTCCGTCTTTTTCGCCAGGTAGAGGAATCACCGAGGAGGCTAACTCCGAAAGCGTATATCCTACTCCTCTACCAAGACCAGAAGCATGGAACAAGTCATCACGATCGAGAGTGAAGAAAGCTTCAGTAGAAAATCATATTACTGTTTGTTAAGAACTCCTTCCGTGATCGACGCCCAATCAACGCAGATGTGTTACCACCTACCCACGCACACATCATTTAACCGAGTGACCCCCTTTTTCCCCAAGCACATCCACAGTCTCCGTACCGTGCCACCCACCACTTAACAATACAACTTCCCATTAACATCTTGTGTCAAGAACCCGCTGACGCCAAAGGGGTCTGGATTCCCATTGTCCAACACGGTAGTCGGTGCTCCGCCGCCAGCCTGAGGATTATTCATTGCTTGCAGTAGCTGAAAGCCGATGCTGTCTGTCAAGTTGTAGCCAAGAGTGACATCCGTGGGAAGGTTGGGTGAGGAGTAGAGTGTGCAGGATCGACGACCTGAGTCCTTAGCGGGGTTATTGGTGTGTTTGAAGACCCAGTTTGTGCAGGTGGTTGGGGCGCTGAGGCAGAGGCTGATGCAGTCGCAGGCTGTCTTGACCGTGGGGAAGAAAATGTCGACTTCGGTAACGACGCCAGTCATATCGATGCCTTGGAAGTCTGCGTTTGTGAGTTAGCAAGTAGGTTCAAGATTATAGAAGAAGAAGAAGAAGGATAGACGAGCAAGGAGGTAGAGAAGAGTTAAAGGACGTACAACGAACGCATCCACCTCGGAAGTTGGGTGGAGTCGTCAGGGTTGGGAATTGCTTAGTTGTGATTTCACTCTTGCAGATGGCCCCTTCCCAGCGGGAGTTGGAATCTTTGAAGATGTTGAAACTGTCGTCCATGTCATTGTAGTCATGGTCGCCGTTACGTTCCACGACTGCGGCGGTGAGAGCTCCGGACAGGAGGAGAAGGGGTGTAAGGGTGATGAAATGCATTGTGTTTGACTTTCGATTGAAGAGAATGAAGTATTATTGATTAATATAATTGAGGAGAAAGTGTGTGAATGGGATTCTTTCGAGGTGATGATGTAGCTATGGAATGAAGAGCGGAATGCTCGTTCTTATAAGTATCGAATTCTCCTCGGCCCGGTTGGGATAGAGATACATATCAACGGTAGCATCGTGGCTGGCGGAGAGAACGAGAATCCATTATCGTGGCTTATTTTGAGTTCGCTGACAGCACCTGTGCCAACGTTCATGAGGAGATTGCTTCGTCTGAAGTCGTCCCAACATTGGGCTGCAGCCCAGCTGCTGCGCCCACCGCCATTCCAACTCAGCTGCCAATCTTGTCGAAGAGGAAATAAGCACAACAGCATGAATGACATAAAGTAATACAATGATTGGAACGCCTCATCACGGGATCATGAGGTTCTTGCATGCAGAAACTGACAAATATTGAGGAAGCAACTTAAATTTCGAGAGAGCCGTTGGAGGCGTTTGGCGTAACGCTGAATACGAACGTGGCTGCACGCAGACCCTCGAAATAGGCCTAGAGCCGCGGGCATAACCTTGAAAGAGGGGTCAGGCCCTGGCTGCCAATATTCTTATTTTGAGTTTCCTGGGGAAATTTCTGAGTGAGGTGTCAGATGGGCTTGGCCGGAGAGGGGTTTTCAGCTCGACAGCCCTCTTGCATGCAGGTGCTTTTTGACAGCGCCACTAGTCGGGAGGGAGATTACTTCCGGGTACTCCGTAACGGCTGCAAGTGGACGCATTCGGCACGTGAATAAAGTTTTGGCTACAGCTGATCGATCGATGAAGCCTAAGATCCAAATGGCTCGAATGATGAGATGTTCCATCAGCGTCTTGCCTGGATCTGTGGTGATGTGAAGCCGCTAAGGATTACTTTCAATATTAATTACTTGCAGGCCGATAAGCGATTGCTTCAGCTTCACTGAAGATAATTTTAGATAAAGCTTGATGAGCTTGATGATCCTGCAGGATCCGTGTTAGGCCGGAAAATTTAGGGCTGCCGGGGTGCCGAGCCCCTAAGCAAACCGCAGCAAAGCATGTGCTGGACAAGTCACTCGCAGGCGAAAAGAAGAACATGCGTTTTCGGGATCAAGAGGATCTAGCATCCTAGCAGACACACCAAATATTAATATATCCCACTGAGAGATCAAGAACCATCAAGTATCGCGACGGTGTGGAATGCGCTGCAGACTGACCATTACTGCCGAGAAGGATGAGGAGGCACTTCCGGAAGGATGGAGACCCGATAGGACTTTCTCTCGTGTCGAATGAATCACAGATACGATATATCAAACCTTGATAATATTTGAAGAAAGATGATTATTATGAGGAGGAAATTCCGGCTCAAAATCTACAAATAAAACTATAGTAACTACTCATACGAGCATCTTACTTGAAGAAGGCAGATGATAAGGTAAGCTATGAAAATAGTCACTTTTCAATGGGAAGAGGATTGCAATAAAGAAGAGTGTAGGTGGGGTGAGTATTGGACTCATAAAATCTTAGGATACTAGGGTTCACTAATATTAGAATTGAGAAGCTGCCAGTGACTAACTCCTCGAAGCAGACTTCAAAGTACCTGGATGATCCCCGTGGAGTTAACCACTGTCTCGTAGTTTATTGTCTCGAAAAAAAAAAAACCTGGCTTAGAGATAACATCGTTGTCCAACTCGTGATTGTCTATTCCTCTACAGTTAGAAGAGATAAAAATAACTTTTACCCAAGTTGAAATAAATGCATCCTAGAATATGGTTAGAACGTGGATCCTGGCCAAGTGGTTTCTAAAATAGCTAGCACGAGATGAAATACTTATGAAACATAGAAAACTAGTTACTTACCAATCAGTAGGGGATCCGGACTCAACTGCTTCTGCAGCGTATAACGCCGGCGGGACCCTCGCCTGCCTCGCTATCTCACGCAGACACCAGATAGCACACTGTCGGGCCGGCGGCGGCGACCCCCTCTCCGCCACCATGGTCAGCGGCCAGATCAAAAAGCGTACGGCTAGAGCAAAGGTCGAACCATCCTTGTTAAGGAAATGCGGTATACTCGCGAGTATATTAGTTACGACCTGGGTGCGGTTGATTTCAGCTACGGCCTGAAGAGCTTCTATATCAATATCTTTGTAGTATCGGAATATCTCAGGATTATCCTGCTCCTTGGCTCTCGCAACAAACTTGGCAAAGTGCCAGACTACCTTATTTATAAATAACCGTATAAGCCGGAGAATATTCCAGTACCGGGCCGTACGGTACTCGGGATATTGGTGGGTAATGCCTTAATATGCCTATAGTGGAGTCGTATGTTATGGCATGGCATGGTAGCACTAGCTGTCTAATAGCATATCCGTCAGTATCCGTATCTCTTTATCCAGTAGTAGCACTTTATAAATTACTCCGGCTATACTCTATACCGGGGTATGTTTGCCTAATTTCACTTTCAAGCTAACCATTTTGTCAAGTAACGGGCCAAGCCGCATAAGAGGCATCCTGAAATCGAGAAAGGGCTTAGCTTACTCGTAAAGATACAAGAACTCGTCCGGTATAGGGACTTCCCGTTAGAGATAGTATATTAAAGGATTAATTACATTAATCAAATTAATTAATTAATATAATTCAGATTTTTTTTGATTAGATTAGAATAATTAATTAATCTATTATATAACTATAGTAAATTACTATTTACTTAATAAGTATTAAGTAACTAAGGCATCTATTAAATAGCCCTGGTTAAATTAAGCTAGGGCTTATATAATAGTAGCTATATACTAGCTTTTAATAATAATAAACTAGTTATTCTCCTATATTTTTCCTTTTTTAATTTAGCTTCGGATTGCTTACTCAGTATTACCGCCCCTGATTAGTATAGTACTAGAGCTAGAGCGGGCAGGAGTATTACCAGATTAGGCTAGTACGGTTATATATAGGATCACATATATATTAATATATAAATAGAATATAATTAATAAATATATTTCGTAATTAGATTAGATTAATGGCCATTAATCTAATCTAATCTAATTATTTAATACACTAGTTAGAGACAGCTACTGCGGATATTATTATATATCTGCAAGAATAGCCGTTTGCCGAGTTCTGTTTTTAATTGCTTTGTATCTCGCAGTCGGATAAGCTAAACGGCTCCGAGTATATATATTATCCAGGTTACGGGTAATTAACGGCTAGAGAACATAATGCCCTTATATAAACCTAGTATAAGGACAGAAATAAGGCTGCTATTAAGGATAGCTGTATTTAGCGAAGCAAGAATTATGTTTATTTGGGTGAGGGCTCTCGAGCAGTATATACGGGTATTATTTATAAGTTAACTATTGCCAATATAAAGCGAGAGGCTTGCAAATAAGGCAGCCAGGACGGTTAAGAAAACAGAATCCTGCTCGGTTAATACTGCGGGGTTATCTATCTCAGTTATATAGTAAAATGGCGACCCTCGGATATAAGATAACATGAAATAACCGATAGCCAAATCTTTATATAGAGGCGTAAGAGAAGATGACGGCGAGGGTATAACATAAGTGTTCACTTCAGTAATAGCAATCGATTCATGCTCATGCGTTTGGTTCGGAGGGATTGGAAGATAGGGCTCCCCGTTCTTTTCCCACTAGACTTACCTAGCTATTGACTCGGACTCATCTTTGAAGAGGAGCAGTGCCACGTTCCTGTAACCGAAACAAATAATGGATTTACGTATGCATTGGGTGCAAGATGGCCGGATGCGATTACACTGTATTATATAAGGTGTTAAGAGAGTGCTTTTTAGGAAGAAAGGTAAAAATAAAGGCTTTTGAAGGAACTTACTCTCAATCTTCCCTTTCGGCAGGGATCACAAGCGTCCGATGGGCGGCCGTGGAACGGCATGGCGGATATTGACCAATTGCGATCTTCACTCAGGGTCTGGTCTCGCCGAGGACGGAAGGCCTGGGTGAGCGGCTCAAGATCTGGTTGGGCGTTGTGATATGAATTGAGCAAGCTCACGGGCTGCGGGAAAAGTGATGGACCATAGGGATCGTAGGGCTGTCACTAGCCAGGAACGAGACAAGGACCAAAAGAGGGGGGGGCCTTTCGTGCATGTCCCAGAATATATATAATTTTCTGAGTCAAAGATCAATAACATTGAGAGCAGCATATCCTGGTCTCAGCTGAAAGCTCAAGGGTTTGGTTCTCAAGGATTCCCTTGATATCTCATTCTGTAGTCGTGTTCGGGGCGCTGAGCGGAGATTCTTCAAGTAGGGGGCTGTTCTATGTCGCTGTCCTCGTCCTGGCGGCTAGGTCGTCTTTTCAGCTGCCGACTGATCCTGGCCCTACCGTCCATGGTAGGGGGAGGCGTGATGTAGAAAGAAGGTTTCGCTCGCTCCGGACCCCCGCACTTTTAGCGTCGAGACGCCCCCCAAATTAGGAAAAGCCGGCCTTGGCCCTGCGACTGAAACGTCCAACTCCGATTCTGCACCCTCAATTCAGCTTGGTTCAATCATCACTCACCTGGCTCCAGAAACAATCGCAGATAAGCAGGGAGAGGACGCAATGAACGCTGCGTACATCCAGATACCGAAAGGATCACCGAACGAGGTGATGTCGCCACCAATGAGAGAGGGGAAAAGGGTTACCAGGGATGGCGTTGAAGATGTTGTGGCTGCAGTGATGGGCGTCCATGGAGAACAACAAGGCAGGTCGTCCTTCGCCGTTGTCTCAGCTGTGGGCTGAATGGGATTGAGATAGTATTCTCTAGGATGACAAGCGTCTCCAATTGATGGTGTTCATCCATCCCGTTCAGAAATTGGCCATAGCTATGTATTGGAATACGGTGTACTGCTTTGACCTCCTTGGCACTCTCCTCCTATGAGTCACGGGACTCTATCACATGATGGTTGACACATCTGTCTCCTTTGTTGCCTATTGCTGCCTATTGCATGTAGATACTGTGGGAGGGAAACTGCGACAAGACAAAAACCCACATAAAGTACACCAGAGCGCAAAACGTGACTTGCAGCAAAATAACAAGATCAAAATCGTAAACAGTAAAGTATAAATAGTATATAGTATATAAAAGCTTAATTAATTAAATATTGAGGAGGGATTATTCTCTAGGACTATAGAAAAACCAGTTTTCTTATATAATTCCCGCAAGTCACGTGCAAAAGGCCACAGCCTTTGCCATATAACCAAATCCTTAAAACCGCCAAAATAATATGATTTTTGGAGAGTATAGCTTGCCGTACTATATCCGACCTCCCATTTATTTGTACTTGTTCCCTAAGTACCAAAACCAATAGAAAAATCCTATTCAGAGTCCGAAATAATAAAATAATTAGGATCCTCTTTTATTAGCTAATCTAATTTATTCTTAATATACTTAAAATAAGATTTATTACTCTTAAATAGTCTTATTTTGTATTCCCGAACTTGCTTAAAAGTAATCCAAACCCGCTTAGTTATATTCTTATACTAAATCCAATATAGTTCTCTATGTCGACTATATTTTGCAAAACAATCGTGAAAGTGTCGACGCTTAGGAGGGATTAGCAAGGGAAGAGAAGAGGAGAATTGAAGTGTGATTGTAGGTAATGAGAATATATAGATGTAAAACCTTCATTTCAAATATCAAGAAATCGAGAGTATAATTGATTTTCGAGTACGACGAGGAGAAGCTCGGCGAGGTCTGGCTGGACCCGCTGCCGCTGCCGCTGCCAGAGTCTCAGCCGCCTGCTGCTGTTTACTCACTTGGTCTGGATGATGTGAGAGCACCATAGCGTGCACCTATTTTCTTGCTGGGGCACAAAACTGATGCGACTTAGTAGTCAGACCCAGTACGCGGAGTCAGGGTCGTGGAGTGAGAGGGACCGATGAACTTGAGGCGCACTAACATAAGAATGAGGGCGTTGAGAATAGTAAGCGGGATACATTTGGGGGGCGGTCGGTTGAGTAGATGATTCCGTATAAGTTCATGATGTTTTAGTAACGTGAATGTTTGTAAAAATATGGGAGCATGGCGTCGGAGAAACAAAACTGTGTAACCAAAAAATTGTGGAAGTAGGAATACCCCAATGCCACGCTTTGTTTATTATCAACCACGGTTTATTTTTCTTTATTAACCAAATAAAAAATATGCAAATCCGTTCCGTCAAATCGAGTTGCCAAAGGAAGCAAATCACCTTATAGTCATGAATACTGACAAGACATTTGAGACAATCCTACCTTTCTACCTTGTCTCTCCTAGTCGCTTGACCAATATGTCGTCTAGGAAATCGATGGCAGCATCAACGTCTGGGATTTCTTCACTTTCGAGTACGGACTTTCCTGCTGTCATCACCAGCCGCTCTGGTGCAGTAAGTAAGGTTGCACACGCACAGTGAGTGTGTCGGAAGATCTGTTCAATGTCAATCCTAACTGAGCTCTGAATTAAGTTTGCAAGACTTACGCGCATTCTCCGGACGATCTTCTCCATCTCGGCTTCAATTACGCTGTCCCCTGAGCGCTTCGCCTGTTGACGGAAGCTGTGTTTCCTCACCGAATCACTGAAGTCGCGTTGCCGCACGGGAATATATCCCTCTCTATTCTGGTCGGTGAGATAACACTCAAGTCCTAGGAAAGCGTCGATGATATGGCAGAACGGTAGTTGGTTTCCAGATAGTACGTCGTATTCGAAATAAACGCCGTCAATGAGCTCGCCTGCTGCCCATCCTTGAAATCCTTGGCAATACGCCATCCAAATGCTCCGAGAAATTTTAGAATCTACTAAAGTATCGTAATATATTTTGATCGGTTGCCGGAGGAGTCTTTCTATTATGTGTAGCGAGGCGACGTAAGCTCCCTTATTGTCTGTCTCATATTGAAAGATGGAATTGACAACATGGTAATACACTGGTGAGGCCTTTGGAATTGATCAGCTAGCCAAATTTTTCCATGAGCCTGTCTGATCACTTACAGCTTTTTCTATAGCCGGAAAGACATGTCCAAAGTGATATTCGGCAGTCCTGGTGACTTCAGACATATCCTCATTGATTAGATATACTATTTGATCCCGATCGTTAAAGTTACAGAAATAGTTTGATGTCACGTTGCCTCCCTGTGAATAGAGTCCGAAGTGTCGACAGAGGCAGCGCCAAGTAATTTCGAGCTCAACCGGTATGTCAATAATCTTCTCCTCTTGAGCTGCTTTTACAATTGGTATTGTCCCCCACCTACTTCTGTTAGCGAGGGCGATCAATCCGCTATCGCAATCTTACCTGAAAGCATGACGAGACAGAGCAATGCACGCATAAAACCCATTGTATGCTTTTAAATCAAAACCGACACATGAACCAGCTTCCATATCTGATAATAGTGTAGCTACATCGGCAATGACTATGCGGTCTTGCAGAAGCATACGCATTCGGGCGCGGTAGTCCTGACATCGCCGATAATTGGACGAATCATTTGGCAATACCGTTGCGCAGGACAATGTTGGCACAAGCTGTAGGTAAATCTCATGGTAAGGGCGCAGCGGCTCCGGCCATGAGTTCCCATGATTTGTTTGAGGTGGCCAGTTTCCGGCACCATCGAAAACAACCAGATCTTGAAGATATCCTGCTGTCTCATGATCGTCGCTGATAAGTCTGATCTGGTCCAGAATGCGTTCCTCGGTGTGGACATTTAACGGTGCCTCTGTCAATCCGGGTTGGCTTCTATTGACGAGGTCACTTATAGCTGTCCAGTATTTGGCACTCTGTGTTAATATCACCTTGAAGAACGAATTAATTGACACACTGCTCAAGTGAGCGAGAAAAGTCGAGGGTTCGGTCTTCGACATGATTTAGTAAGGACGGAGGAATCAAACCAGAATCCAGTTAATGTTACGAGCCAAAGGACTTTATTATTTGTACTGTTTTCAATACACTCACCTATCGGGGGAATTCTGTCAGTTCCAACTCATTTGAACTAGAGGCAGGTACTGGCTGGCAGTGAATTACTGATAGAGTTATTGGCTAGAAGACCTTGGCCCGACAACGCACAGCAATTCTCTACATAGCGCCATGTAGTCCATTCTTATGTGTCCCTATTGGTGTATTTGCAAGCTAAGCGCCACCGAACACTTTTATACAGGCCGCTCAATAGTGAAATCCGATCCGGTACAGGGGTGTTACCTTTATCGCGCAACCCTAGCACGTCTAACGCCAAGTTTTGGTGTTACGCAATACAAGTCCCTTTGTATACAAATATTTACGTAATGATACAAGATTCGGTACCAACATTCCACCCAGTAAGCGATTTCGCCAGCCTGCCCTTTGAGACATGTCAGAGGTCAGGTGACTGTCTGCTCATATCAGCTTTGCTAGCTATATAAAGGCTAGCTGTCTTGTAATTAGACTCAAACTTATAATAAAGTCACTCGTACGGTTATCTGCCCTGAATTGCTTTTCCAGGAAGACATACGCACGGCCCTCAGTTCAGGCCTGATTACGAAGATCACGGGCATAAAGTATCGGGAATACAGGGCATTATTTTATGAAGGCCACTAAATGCCCTGTAAGGTCTTACTTTAATCTCCCTGTAGCTAGTCCTAGTCCCCTGTAAGCCCCTATCCCTTCGTCGGCCATCAACTGTCCACGCTAGCAAGGGTGTGCTTCCCGCACTACAGGGGGGGCTCGCTTGGCTCCCGTAGCATAATATTTATGTACCTTTGCATATAAATTTATTAGTAATCTATATCGCATGGATGAAATCGCGTCCAGGAGTCCCCCACCACTTACGCGTGCATGCAATGAGCGATTCTCCCAGCCCGCCTTCTAGCCCACTTTTAGGGCCTACGGGTGGAAAATATTCCCAATTACTTGAAAATATACTCCTTAGACTTGGACTAATTACAGACGTCCATTTTGAGCCTTTTCAGCCCGAACCTAAGTAGTCCGTACGAGCGATTCTACCTCTTACCTTCCCTCCAAAGCCACACCCATTCGATTACTTTAGCCTGTTCTTTACTCCCGAGCTCTTTCAGACGATTACTACGAATACCAATTAATATGCGAGCCTCCAGAGAATATATATAGCGGAGGAAAGGGCCCGGGAATAGACAGATCTATTAGTAGAGAAGTTATATGTATTTCTCGGCGCTATTATATATATGGGAGTCTATTATGGGAGGGAAACTGTGACAAGACAAAAACCCACATAAAGTATACCAGAGTACAAAACGTAACTTAATAGTAAAATAACAAGATTAAAAGCGTAAATAGTAAAGTATAAATAGTATATAGTATACAAAAGCTTAATTAATTAAATACTGAAGAGGGATTATTCTCTAGAACAATAAAAAAACTAGCTTTCTTATATGATTTCCGCAAGTCATATATAAAAGACTATAGCCTTTACTATATAACTAAAACCTTAAAACCGCTAAAATAATATAATTTTTAGAGAGTATAGCCTGCTATATTATATCCGACCTCCTATTTATTTATACTTATTTCCTAAGTACTAAAACTAATAGAAAAATCCTATTTAGAGTTCGAAATAATAAAATAATTAGAATTCTTCTCTATTAGCTAATTTAATTTCTCCTTAATATATCTAAAATAAGATCTATTACCCTTAAATAGTTTTATTTTATATTTCCGAACTTATTTAAAGGTAATTCGAATTTACTTAATATAAGAAGAAAACTATAATAAGATAAAAACTTATATAAAAAATACTAGAATATAAAACATAACTTAATAATAAAATAATAAATTAAAAGTATAAATAATAAAATATAAATAATAAAGTATATATAGTATATAATATATAAAAGCTTATTTAATTAAATATTATAAGAGGGAAACTATAATAAGACAAAAACCTATATAAAGTATATTAGAGTATAAAACGTGACTTAATAGCAAAATAATAAATTAAAAGTATAAATAATAAAGTATAAATAGTATATAGTATATAAAAGCTTAATTAATTAAATACTTATAAGGGATTATTCTCTAGAACTATAGAAAATCTAGCTTCCTTATGTGATTTCCGCAAGTTATATATAAAAGGCCACGGCCTTGCCATGTAACCTAAACCTCAAAACCGCCAAAATAATATAATTTTTAAAAAGTATAGCCTGCTATACTATATTCTCTTATTTATTTGTATTTATTCTCTAAGTACTAAAAATAATAGAAAAATCCTATTTAGAGTCTAATATAATAAAATAATTAGAATTCTTCTTTATTAGCTAATCTAATTTTTCTTTTATATACCTAAAATAAGACTTATTACTCTTAAATAGTTATATTTCATATTCCCGAACTTATTTAAAGGTAATCCGAATCTGTTTAATTATATTCTTATACTAAATCTAATATAGTTCTTTATATTAATTAGTATTTACTTTTAATTATTACTTAATTTCTGCCTTTATTACTAGATATTAAGAAGGCTTATTATAATAAATTATATTATAAATTATACTAATATACTCTAAATAAATAGCTTCTTTAAATTTCGTATTATTTATAGTATTTTTAAATTAATCTTTAATAGGAAAAGAAAGCTCTAGATAAGAAGCTTTAATAACTTTATAAGAGACTTTATTTTCGTATATTTTATTCTTAATAGTAATTAGACTTATTAAAATTATAATAAAAGGCCTATTAAGTAGTAAATTATTATTAAGCTATTCTTTAGCTTTTATATTATTCGAGAATTACTACTTACTTATAATTTCAGACTTATAGATTACCTAGCTAAAGGTATTTATTTGTCTAGTTAAATAAATTATATTTAAAGTCTTTTCTCTTATTACTTTTAGTAAATACTCGCCTATTTCTTTAGCTATTTCCGGCTCAAATTTATTAGAAATAGAGAAGTAATTAATATTCTTAAAGAACTTCTTACTTAAAGTAGTAGCCTTCTTATAATTTATAAAAAACATATAGCTAATATTCTAATATTCTTTACTAAGGTAGAATTCGCTATTTAAAGCTTTAGTAATAGCCAAATCTTTAATATTTCCTTTATACTAATTATAATTAATATTTCCAGAAATATAGTATCTAGCTAGCTAAAAATTAGTAACTAGGTAAATAAAATACTTATTTAATACCTTATAAAATCCGAGCTATATTAATAGATCTGCTATTAAGAGTTAAGAGACTAAGATAAAATAGCTATTATCTAAATCTTTATATTTTAATATATTATCTTTTTAGAAATAAAACTATAATATCTCTATTTTTTTTTATTAAGAGCTTTTAAATACTAAGCTTTTTAATTTACTTTAGGTAATTCTTCTTATAAATATAACTATTTATATCTAAATTAGTAGTACTAGACTTAGAAATAGAAACTATAGTATTAAATTATAGTTATAAATTTGGGTAAAATTAATAAGATATATAATACTTATATTTATATTTCTTAATTTTCTAGATCTTAAAAAAGAAATCCTATATCTCTTTATTTATTTAAGTAATAAAAATATACTTCTTATCTTTAGTAATTTTATAGATCTTAATAACTAGCTTTAGAATATTCTTAATATCTTATATATTAATAAAGAAAATATTAGTAAGCTACTAAATATATATTATATAGAGAGCTTTAAGAAATTTATTAGTAATTCTATAATATTCTTGCTTATAAATAAGTCTTAAAATACTATTATATATCTTTTTAAAAATATATTCATTTTACTAAATAAGTATTAACTTTTATTTAGCTAGTATTTTATAGATATATTAGATATCTTCTTTAAGTTTCCCGAACTTAATATTCTTAATCTTTTATTTTTCGGTTCTAGATATAAATATAGAAGTCTTTCTAAATAGTATCTTTCTCTTTAAAATAAATAGTTCTTTTTTATTTAATTCTTCGTTTTTCTTAATTTTACTAGCCTTATATTTAGACTAGTACTCAGATTTTTACTATCTTTTAGGAATTTTAGACTTAGCTTATTTTCCTTTCTTATTAGGTTCTTCTTATCTAGAAATACTAGTTTTACTAGTCTTACTAGTAAATTTATTACTAGGCTATATTAAATTAGCTTTATTCTTATTAGCTAGATCTAATTAAATTAAAGCTAAAATTATAATAGGGGTCTATTTTTTAGGCTTATTTCGGAAAGTAAGAAAAGGCTTATTACTATAAATTTCCTTAATTAGAATTCCGGAAATATTAAAGATATATTATTTAGCTTTAAGATTATTAGCTAATAGTAGTTTAAAAACCAATTCTCTAGGTTCTAAAATAGCTTTAGTATACTTAAGTATCTTAGTAATATCTAATTTAGTAAATATACTAATATTCTAATATTTCTTATTCTTAATATATTCTAAAATAGCTTTATTAATTAACTAAATAGCTTTATATACTAAAGCTTTTATCTTAAAAAAATATATATAACATTTTATAAATATTTTTACTAAAATTATTATAAATATTATTAATATATTAACTAAAGGCTTTATTATATAATATAATTCTATTCTACTTCTTGATTTCTAGATTATTTATTATAATCTTAATCTTATTAAGCTTTTCTTATTTGCCTTTAGAAATGCCTTTAATAATATTCTCGAATTTCCTATTATTAGCTTTTTCTTAGTTAATTCTAGTCTAGTTCCGTTTCTAATAAAGGTTTTCTATTTTAAAAGCTTATTATATATACTATTTAGTTTATTTAGGATATTTATATTAAATTCAGTAATTATAGCTATTTTTTCTAGTATTAGTAGGCTTTCTATAACTGCCCAAGCCTCTTTAATATTCTAAACTTTAATACTATTAATCTATAGGCTTTTAATAATACTATAGCTTATAAGAACTAGCTATTATACTTTATTAGCTTAAAAAATCTATTTTTTAGTTATTTTATTATTCTTAATAAGTTATAAAGATATTATTAGTATAATAGTTATAGGTTATAGAATTAAAAGTTCTCGAAATTATAAGAATTTCTTTTAAATACCTTCTAAAATAAAGAATAAATTAGAATAGACTTGAATTATATAAAGATATTATATATATTCGAGTTTTTTCTTTTTTCCTAGTAAGAAAATAAAGCTAAAA